ACCAGCCGCATGAACCTTTAACTGTCGCTGCTCCGTCAGGAGTTTGGACGCCAGCAGGTCGCACCTCAGGAGAGACTGAAGAAAGCAACTGTGATTCTGAATCCTGCAGCTTCCAACGGGTAAAAATGTCACATTTCCTGCGCAATTTTTATTGCATTTATCAAATATGTATTTAAAACATCCCTAATTTAATTTCTTCAGGAAAGCCAACAACTTATTTGAAAAGAATGCAGCTCCTATTTTACACCTGGCTGGCGTGGAAATCACAGTAGTGAAGGTATCATTCTCAGCTTTTATTAGCAGCCTTTACATGTTGGTGTCACCAGATGCTTAACTCTGGTTACAAACACAGACAGACTATGAAGGTCAGGCTAAGAAGCTGATGGAGCTGATGGAGCAGACAGACATGTTGATTGTGGCTGGAGGTGACGGCACCTTGCAGGAGGTCATCACAGGTTTACTGCGGAGGCCGGACCAAGTGGGTTTAATAAAATAATAAGAGTAATAAATCTGTTCTCACCAAGTAGAAATCTGAAATGATTCCTGACTCCAGGAGGTCTTCAGTAGCACGCCGATAGGATTCATTCCTCTGGGTTCCCATAATTCCCTCAGTCCGTCTCTTCATTTCCTCAGTGACAACAAAGTCAAGTAAGTGGCACCACGATCCTGCTGCACTGCAGAGGTGAGCTTGTTGTCTTCATGTTACAAATTTATGCTTAGCTCCTTACATACTTATCAGCAGCCATGCAGCACTACAATCTCATTCTGAGGAATGTTGAAAACCTTTCATTTCAGTGGAGAAGTTGCATGTTAAGAAAAAAATAAACTTTGATTTCTGTCCATCCTTGTGGAGTTATTTCGTTTTTCCTACATTTTTTCCAACTTCCTGCTTCTTGTGAAATGTTCAGGGACATCACGGCCGCCACGCTGTCCATCCTGCAAGGAGAGACGGTCCCTGTGGACGTGCTTCAAATCAAAGTGAGGAACTTTTCAGTTTAACATCTTCCATCACTTTATCAGAATTTATTCTGGGACAAAAACTTCAACGGAGTATTCGGGTCATTCTAAGAAATAAATGGACTATGAAAATATAGTCATAATACCAGAATAAAGTCGGAATAATGCAAGAATAAAGTTGTAATAATAGGAGAATCGTCAAAATATGAGAATTAAGTAGAATTACAACAATAAAGTCATAATTCAACAATTATCTTATGCTGTAAGAATTTATTCTTATTAAAACATTTTCTTAGCCTTGCCCTAACACTCCATTGTAAAACAACCAGTTGAATCTTTATTAAAGATGTCTTTTTTCTTTTACGTTACAGTGATAATTCTTGTTGTAGATTGAAATTTGTTAATGTTTGTTTGCAGGGAGAGAAGGAACAGCCGGTGTTTGCTCTGATTGGTTTGCGTTGGGGCGCCTTCAGAGACGTCGCCGCAAAGATCAGCAAGTAAAAAGATGCAGACATTTAATTAAACTAAAAGATTCTGAGTCTGGGTTATAAGGTTTCCTAACGGCTTTTCTCTCCGGGTAGATACTGGTACCTCGGACCCCTGAAGACGAACGCGGCTCATTGGTTCCACACGCTGAGGGTGAGCCTCCACCACTGCTGAAGGAAACTAGCCATTACTCACTGGCTTGTGTTTTTATTTCATTTAGGGATTTAATATGTATTCAAATCCCTGGAACTTTTTCCCATGTTTTCATTTTACAGCCGCAAACCTTAAAGGTGACCTATTATGCTTCTCCGGACTATAAAACAATTTTTTGCACAGAATCATTTTTAGATGATAAGATCTTAGTCTTTTTTTAGATCCTTTCATAATGAGCTGTTTTAAGGCGTCTGTCTCTTTAAATTAGCTGTGGCTGGCCACGCCCCCCGACTCAACATTTACACAAGAAAATGACTGCAAATATGATGTAACATGTTTGAAAAGCAGAAGTGGAGCCTCCTGCACAACCAACAAGAATGCAGCAAGTGGCTTCTGAATAATAAGTCAATAACAAAACAGCATCCAGTGATAAAACCGGTTGACTAAATGTGCTGGAGTTCAGCTTGGGTTGCTAGGTAACGGTACAGCGATACAGTTGGTTTCGTCTCAACAAAAAACATTCATTTATTGCCAAAAAAAACCCTGACTGGATGTTTAACCACTTAGTTTTCAGACGCTGTTGAGACCCAAATGGAAAAATAAAAATGTCCAGAAAGTGAATTTAGCACAATAGGTCCCTTTAATGGATTTTACTGGGATTTCATGGCTCCCAAACACAAAGAAGCTCATCATTTTCAACTCTTACCACAGATTTTAAATTGGATTTAAGTTGGGACTTTGACTAGGCCATTCTACAACTTTAACAGCTTTGATCTAAACAAACCCATAGCGCCTCTGGCTTCGTGTTTAGGTGATTTTCCTGCTGGAAGGTGATTGTTTTGTATTTGGCTCCACCCATTTTCCCATCAGCTGAGCTGCATGATGCTGCCACCGCCATGTTTAGTTGTGTTCATGTTTTGTAGGAGTGGCCTCTGGTCCACGACGTCTCGGTGTCCCTCTTGGCTCCCAGACCTCGACCCCCTGATCTGGACCCTCAGAGGCCACCCAGGCCTAATCTGCTGCACCGCATCATCCGCAGACTGAAAAACTACTGGAGCCCTCCGGCTGAAGGCACGTCTTCAAGAACATTTCCAAACCCACAGATAATGTCTCAAAATATGTCAATAAACATCAACTTTTAGAGTAGTTTTATTCACTCTTAGATAATTATAGCATTCATTTTGTATAAATGAGTTTTGTGGTGGAAACTTTTATAATCAGATAATAAATGTCTTCCATTGCGATCCCCTTAGAAAACAAGTATATAATATCTCATATTAATCACATCAAATTCTATTTTAATCCCACAGTTCTTCTGGTTTTTTGAGTTTTGTTTTTTTCTAGTCAGAAACTTTTCCTGTTAGCTGGAGGAGCAAAGCAGCTTCATGACTGGCAGCCAATCAGAAAATGAGCATCAGAAATAACATATCATCAAATATTTTAACTTGTATTTTATTTAAAATAATTGATAAAAAAATGAAAATTATGATGACAAATTTAAGCATTTTCTCACCTTCTCCACCAACTTCCTGAGGCCCACTACAGCGCCCCCCGGTGGCGGCAGGAGCTGCTGTTTGAAAACCCCTGGCTTACCTTTCGGGTTTAGTGTTAACAGTAAGCTTTGGTTTATTCCTCAGAGCCTCTGAAACCAGAAGAGCCTGAGACGTGGGAGGAGCAGCAGCTGTCTACACCAGAGCTCTACATCCAGACCCTCAATAAAAACCCAGCAGAGCGGGTCAGAAGGAAGCTACTTTAATATTTCCAACCTTTTCTGCTCTTATAAATATCATAAAATCATATTTTTGTGTGTATCTGTAGCGCATAAATGACGCTCTGATGATCTGCGCTGAACCAGGAAACAGAACCGTGGGCGAGTTCATCTCTGTCGGGTCGGTGTCTTTCCTCATGGAAAGCAGATTAAATGAACTTCCACATTTATTACTTTCCATTGTTTCTCTTAGGAATAAAAAAGTGAAGGATCCGACACTTTTCACTGAAAACTCGACCAAGCTGGAGGCCAGTGTTTGCAGGCTGACCCTGCCGGAGGTGAGGAGCCTCACCAGATGTGTTAGTTGATCTGCTCTGTGAAATCCGTGGGTAACCGCGCGCCTCGCTTCCTGCAGGGCGCCGCCGGCTTCTATAACATCGACAACGAGGAGTACGAGGCGATGCCCGTAGAGGTCCGGCTGTTGCCTAGGAAACTGCGCTTCTTCATCAGCACCAAGCGAAGAGAGGAGCTCGTCTCACAGCCGCAGTGACGACAAACAAGCCCAGAAGGAAGACTAAGAAAGGACAGAATATCAAAAAGCTCCCTTTACTAGCCATAACCATGGCGACATGAAAATCTGTTGCATCGAGAAGGACCAAGGCTTTTCAGTGTTTGTGCCCCAGACTCATGTTGCTCTAATAAAATCCCCTGTCCAGTTCAGTGTGAGGATCTTTGTGTCCGTCTGATGGTGCAAAAGCTTTCAGTTCAGATTGAAATGACTCAGGAAGAGGTTTTGTTCAGCAGGAGGAAGGAGGGAGTTGGGCTGAAATGAGAGGAAAAGAGGATGAGACTCTTGGATGAGAAGGAGCCGCTTGGCAGAGCCGGATCCGATCTGACAGATGGTGCCGGATCAGGCTGCGCTGCAGGCGTCCGTTTATCCGTCTCTTTAGGAAACACAAAGTGATGCTGAAAGGTGATTTAATGAAGGCGGATCTCACTGATTTATATGATATATGGTTCATATTTACTCTGTTCATTTTTTGTCCAGATAATATTTAGATTCACAATATTTGAAGCTAAATAGAAAACTATGTTACAGTAAATATTTAGCTCACACAAGCTCAATACTTTTCTTCAAAGTAAATATTCAGCCAGCAAGCTAAATACTAAATATTAGGCTCTAAATTAACCATTTTGCTTGCATGATAACTATTTAACTGAAAAGTAAATATTTAGTTTGCAAGTTAATATTTTCCCCCACAAATATATAGCATCAAAGTACACATTTAGCAGAAAGCTAAATATTTGGCTCCAAACTAAATATTAGCTCACTATTAATGTCAATGTAAATAGTTAAATAACTAATAAAAAAGCTGTCTTTTTTCTGCAACCTCCTCTTGGTCACTATGGATCCATTATGAATCAGTTTCCTTTTAAATCAAAATATTTTGCTTGCTAACCAAATATTCAGTTTGAAACTGACATTTATAAATGAATAAATGACATGGCAGAAATGTGGCTAATTTTAAAGTTTCTCTGAGAACAAGCTGAATATTATTGCTGTTAATGTTTGACTGTAACTTCACAAAAAACACCTTGTATTATTTTTACACCAGGTTACTGTATCATCTGCTGTGTGAGTTTATTGTAGCAAATTTATCATCAGATGCTTTATGGAAAGAAATATGACAAAGTGTTCAGAGGGAGACTTGTGGGATTTAATAACATTGAACCAGAATCAGTATTTTCTTGTGTTACAGTGAAACTGACAGGAAATCATGCTGCCGAGTTTGTGTGTTTCACACAGTGGAGGCTTCACTGCTACTTGGTGAACACTCCTGATTTACAATAGTCAGAAAACATCTGCATGGATGCTGGAGCGACGCCTCTGCTGACATTCAGAAGAGTGAGACGGTTTGTTGACCACAGTCCACACTGTGGAGGTTTCCACACAGAAAAAGGTGATGCGTTCAGTGGCATGGTGTGTGTGGGTGTGTGTGTGTGTGTGTACATTCCCTTTTACATTAAAGCTGTGGAGCAAAAGCAGTCATAGGAGATCTGCTGATGGCTAACGTGAAGCATGGTGTTGAGACATTCAGCAAGTAAAAATTCAAACTACAAACAAGCATTTCTGTGGGAAAAAAACACATTTTAAGGCCCCAAATTTGAAATAAAGCTTAACTGCCGTGAACAATTAGTGCATTTCCTTTTATCCAACATAAAGGTTAAAAAATGAAACAGTATATTTGAAATACAGAAGCGATGCTTGTAACAGTTCATAGCGAGACCGTTAGAAGTTTGAAATCCCACTGGAATGCAGATTCTGGAAGCAGATTTTCAGCCTCCTGTGTTCCAACATGGAACAAATCACTGACATTATCAAAATGACCAAAGAACTGAAAGCCCCTCCAGCCCGTCTCCGAAGCCCGGTTCAAGTCACTGAGCTGGAGGAGAGGCGGTCAGAGTTCCTGCATCCATGAGCGAACGAGGTTCTTATGAAGGATCATCTGGTTAACAACTGGAACCAACGAATGCAAGAGTTTAAATCACAAACCCATCATATAAAAGGTTACAGTTAAGCACAAGTTTGTGTGTTTGTGTGTGTGTGTGCGTGTGTGTGTGAGTGTGAGAGAGAGAGCAAGAGAGAGAGAGAGAGGAAATAATCCAGTGTTTGACCGAGTGCAGCATTCATATTATGTGGTGCATGTTCACTGAAAACCTCCTACAAATATCACAAATGTGAAGCTTTAACCCCAAAAAAAACTACATTTCCCAGAATGCACCCTTGCTTTTGGTCTGATAATCAGAGAAAGGCCAGCAGACACGGCCTGTGGTGAAAGTGCATAAAGTTTAAAGTATTTATTAACAGCCTTTCTCTTTACAGACAGTCATGAAGGTCATACTAATTTGGGGCTTTTAATAAAAATAAAATTGAATTTATTGTGAATTTCTCATTTTTAAACAGGCTCAAAAATTAATAATATTTCAGTCTTTTTGCAAATTGTTGGTTTTAGAGCCTTTAGTAAACTGTGGCAACAAGAGGAATTGAAAAGGAGGAAATATTTCATTCATCATAATCCAAAAGTTAAGGAGGGATGGCGAAAGCAAATGAGGAGGATTAGCAGAGCTGCTGAATGGATTATGAGACTATCATATAGCAGTCCTCAGTCAGAAACTACAACTACGTTTAGCTTTCCTTTAAAAATGTTTTTAAATATTACTGAATTTGAATTACTGCTTCCCAATATGGTAGAAATCATTTAAGTTGATTAATTACCTGATTTTAAGTATTTCACAGATTATCAGCCATTGATCTGGAACACCATCAATCAATTTATCAAATTTTATGTTTATGACAATGTAATTTTTGGAAAATCTATGTTCCAAAATAAGGCGATTTTACTTTCAGTCTCAGTTCTGATCCAAAATCCACAACTTCAAATTTGACTGGAAAGATGGGAAAATAAAAGAGGAGTACATCTCAAACAGATAGACGTGTTATGATTAATCTTGATATTCAAAAATAATAGAAATGGTATCTTGTATTTTTAAACAGGTGAAAACATCAGAAACAATAATATTCATCTCTTCATGACTGAATGCAAACTTGTCATCAGCTTCATGATGTTCACGTCTTCCAGTCATAAAGCAGAATCAGTCTCATCCGTTTCCCTCCAAAGCTTTTTCACTCTCATGTTGTTTCCTTTCTGAAACGCAGAATAAAGTAGATTTACCAGAACCAGAAGCTCACAGCACATCCAGGAGTTCGAGTGAGTCGGTTTAATTTCCCAGGAAATGAATCCAATTAGACAAATTAACTCCAATGGGGGAGAAACTTTTTCCCCAAATGCGACTGAGAGTTTCAGAAGGATCCAACAATCATCACCCCACACTGAGTGTCCAGGTCACCCACAGTGGGGCGGCTCATAAACCCAAAGGTGAACAGATGAAAACCCCCAGATGGGGGCAGTGTTTCCATTTCCAGTGTGTTGCTCTGTGTGGGGGGGCTGCTGCTGGTGGGGGGTTTAGGAGCAGCAGAGGTTGTCAATGAGCAGCGTGACGTCGATGCCGTAAACCTCCAGCAGGTCCTCCAGGAAGGAGCGGTCCCCCTGGGGGTCCAGCCCCATGGCCCTCATGTGGTCAGCAGTGATGGTGGGATCAGCACTGCCCGCCACCTCACACAGGGTCTGGAAGATCCGGTTGTTCAGCTCCATGAAGAACCTGGCAGACATTTGATCAGGATTAAAATATCTAAGATTTTTTTCTCAAAGTACCTACGTGTTTTCTGGGAACATAGTGCCATTTCATAGCACTATAATAACTTCAGTCGTGAAAAACTGACATAAAAGAAATTTGACTTTGTAATTTAATGCCTTAAAGTTGGGTCTCTTTCTCTTTAAGAACTCGTCCTCTTTTTATCTGTGTTTTTATCTACCACCTATTGGTGGCTAGTCTGAAGGAGCTGAGTGGGGGAGGAGCTGTGTCTCAAAGGCGGTTGCTCAACGATTGCCAAGGAGTTTGAAGGATTTCTCAAATTTGAAATAATCAAAGCAACACTCCAGGTTTGATTTTGATGAGGAAAAAGTTTATAACAGGATGTTAAGCTCAAAAAAGCCAATTTTAGATTACACTGCCCCTTTAACAGGAGGCAATGGTTGCAGACCACCAAATATGTTTCCGTCTCCCACTCTTTTTCAGAAAAGCCAAAAAACCAACACAAGTGAGCATAAAAACTTGTTGTTTTAATGAGGAAGTTATTTTGAAATTAGCCATTTCTATCAAACTTTTCTAATGTGATTAAACTTAAATTGCACATGAAAAGTAAAAATTCCTTGGACTCACAAAATGAACAGATCCTCTTCGTTCGCTGTGCAGTTTTCATCCACCTCCTGAGAGTACAGCAGCATCTGTCTGCAAAATGTCAAAAGCAAATAAAATGTGTCAAAACAGGAAATCAAATGAATAAAAAAAAGGTAACTAACAGAAAAAAATCAACAAAATCATCCGTCCATTCACTGTTTTCCAAACATAAAATTCAAGTACCATAAAAACTAACAAAACTGAAATTTTCTGTTAAATGAAAAGAAAGCCATTTCTGGTGAAAAATAAATGGGTTTTTTTTGTGTAATAAGTGCTTTAGTACCTTTGTTCACTTAGTTTCCGGTACTTCTCCTTGTCCGCTGCATTCAGCCTGAGCAGCGGCTGCAGGTGGCTTCTGTGCGTCTTTACATTCTGGTTATCGATGTAGACATCATACAGATCCTTCTTGTCCTCAAAAATCTTCTCTGTGGTGCCTTAAAAAACAGAAGAACCTGCTCATTTCTACACCATATAAGAACCACGAGGATTTTTAAAATGTATTGCACCAAAACTCACAAGCAACGTATGAAAACTCTGTTTCCAAGGTGCTGATGTCAGCAATGTTGATATAGAAAAATGGCCGTAATTCAGGCACAGAAACACCGATTCCAGGGATCGAAACATTAGCCAGGCAGCAACAGCAGTACACTGAAGCAGCAGAAGGGAACAGTCAAATCCAAGGACACAAAGAGGAGAAGCACTGGAAAATTACAGACTCAAAAATAATCGCAATAATTCGGCTTATTTATCCTGTGGTATGAGAAGAGGGGGGTTCGTTTTTAAAAGTCAGATTCGCCTCGTCATTACAAAAATTTATAAAACTAAATGTTCTCGTTCAAACTAAACAGTTTGCTAACTCAGTATTTAGATAGCAAATTTAATATTTAGTTCTAAACTAAATATTTTGTTAGCAGCTTAACGGCTTCAAAATCGATATTTAGCTTGCTAACTAAATATTTAGTTTGCTACTAAAATATTTTGTTTGGAGTGAAATATTTAGTTCAGCTTTCAAGCTAAATACCTGGTTTCAGCTAACTTAAATTTTGAACAAAATATTTAGTTACAAACTAAATATTTAGCACAATAAATATTTAGTTTACAAACTATTACTTAGCTTTTTATCTGAACATTTAGCTGCCAATTAAATGTTTGTTTTGAGGCTAAATAATCCGTTTGCTAATTGCTAATTAAAATACTTAATTTGAATAAACCCCCACTTTTTTCTTCTTACGTTATGCAAAATAATCCGAATTATTGCTGTCAACTTTTGCTGTTTACAGTGTCACCCGTACAGAACATCTCTATTTTTACATTCATAAATCATTTCTTCAGTGATGAACAGAGGCTGAAAACAGGAAATAGGTTTAGATTGTGACCACAAGCGGCCAGGAAAGGCCTGGTGTTCAGGCTCGAGCTGCTCACCCCGGTAGCAGACCACGCCTATGGGTGGAGGAGAGAAGATGAGGAGCCGCTTCCGGAGCAGAACAAACTTCCACAGCACCATGATCTGCTCGCCGAAAAACTGGATGAACTGGGACATGCAGCCAGCCGGGTGGGTGATCTGCAGGGAGAAGGTCCTTTTACCATGCATCCAGCAGCAGCTGGACCGGTAAAATGAGCGAGTTCAGGTGTCTCAGACCTTCATCTCTGGGTGCATGCAGCGGTTTATGGCGGAGACGGTCCAGGTTGGGCACAACGGAACCAACCCGTTTCCTGTCGGCGGCAGAACCGCCTTCTTATCCTCGTAAAAAGCCTCCAGTGGTGAGTACTGGCCTGGACAGTGCAGCTGGTGTCTACAAGGCAAACAGTCGGAAACAAATGATGTAATTAAGTCAAAGTTCATCCAGATTTAGATAATGAACCGCCAGCTCCTTTCCATCTTTTCACAGGTGTCCAGTCACACCAAACAGCCGTAGGTGTGAAAATGATTCACTGAAACTGTTTGTTGTGTGATTTTATCAAACAAATTTATGCTGGAAGAGAAAATAAAAGTGTGCAGACATCTAATAAAATCTCCTGAGAACGACTGAAAAAGATAACTGATAGTAATAATTGCACAATTTAAAGTATTTTGCCCATCTTTTTATGTGGATTTAATATTAAGTGATTTGTGTTGTTTTACTTCCTGCAGCAGCTATACATCCTTTCTATTAGATTTTAAAAATACAAGATATTCCTGTTTGCTTCTTTCCTTGTAATGAATAACCTTTAACCTTTAGCTCATAAAGTCCAGAGTTCAAGACATTTATGACTGAATTCATTTCGCTCTGACCTGAGAATAATGCTGCGCAACAGAATTAAAGGTGTGTTGATTTGTTTTGGTTAAAATTATAAAACATTCCACAATTACAAAGCTAAGCTAATGCACTATTGTTTATTGCGATAAACGATAATATTGTCATTTTGAAACCATTTTCAACTGATATAATAATAATCAAAGATCAATAAACTCAAATTCCAAACTAAATTTAACACTTGAACTGGAAGATATTTGAAATATCCAAAATAAACAAACAAAACAACTGAAATAATAAATATGAAGTCTCAATAAAACAAAACATATCTCCATCTCAAGCAAAACAAGCAAAACTCACATATAAGACTTTTAAAAAGAAACAAAAATTTAAACTCCTTTGCACATTGCATCAAATGTTTGCAGCATTTCTTAAAATGGCTGCTTTTCAATAATATTAAATGGCAGCATCTCTAAAGATTACATAATGAAATGGAAATGATTGTTCCCATTTTTTTCATCAAGCGATTAATTGATTTATTGTTGACTGTGACGGCTTATTTTTGCTTGATGGGTAAAACCTAACAGTGAACCTGTGCAGCAGAAAACTCAAGCTGAATAACCACTGAGGGGCAGGAAGCTGCATCCCTGCAGCTGTTTTTATTTCTACACAGCGAGACTCCAGTTATTGTAGCAGGAGAGCAGAAGAGCAGAGTTATAGAAGAGAGGAGAAAAGATGCTGTCAGGGTTTCTAGATGCTTTGTGTTGAGAAACAGACACGAACTGAGGCGCTGGCTTCATGTTTAATGGATGAGAACATTTTACACAAAGAGAAGAAAAAGTTCAGTGAGAAATAAAGCAAGAAGGCAGACACACACACACACACACACACACACACACCAAACACACACACACACAATCACACACACACACACACACACACACCAAACACACACACACAATCACACACACACACACACACACACCAAACACACACACACACAATCACACACACACACACACACCAAACACACACACACACACACACACCAAACACACACACACACACACACACACACCACACACACACACACCAAACACACACACACACACACACACACCAAACCACACACACACACACACAAACCAAACACACACACACACACACAATCACACACACACACACAATCACACACACACAATTACACACACACACACACACATTACACACACACACACACACACACACACAGCCTCACCTGACTTGGTTCTCCAGGAAGTGCATGTATCGGTACAGCAGAGTGTAGGACGGAGACAGGATTCCCACGGACTTCATCCTCGCTCCGCGCTCCAGCTCGCTCTCCACTGGCATGTTGGCAAAGCAGGCCAGCCCGAAGTATTTCCCTTTACGAAAATATCTGAGCAGAACAGAAGCAGTCAGCCGGGGTGGAAACGGGGGGAGGGCGGTTCTGACGGATCTGGACCTACATGAAGTCACTGGTGATCGGTGGGAGCCGCTGGCCATGGACTTGAACTCCACTCCGTCCAGGTTGACGTCATGAGGCAGACACCACTCCACCATATTCCCTGCCATTCACACACAGATAGTGATGTCACTTCCCTTCCTGCCTCCACTTTCATCTGGGACACTTCCTCTATTTCTTCCTCATAAATCCAAGAGTTCGTGACCTCAGATCTGACTTTGAGTAAACATTAACCAGAAGCCAAGTCTCAGCTTTTCCTCCTTATTGATTTTATAGCTGCTGTTTTTTCAAACTTGATCTCTGTTGGATTTTAAATTACATCATAATACATTTGAGATAAATGGCTTGTTTTTTTAATTCAAACTGCTAACCAGAGGTGATTCAAACAAAAGTGTCCACCAACACAAAAAGCACAGATGAGTAACAAGGTTCAGATTTCTGCTGCAGAATTTCACAAAACCGTTTTTAAAAATAGCACAAACACAGGGGCGGTTAACCAGGGGGCCTGGTGGGGGCCGCAGCACAAAATCCCAAAAAAAAAAAAAAAAAAACAAAAACAAAAAAAAACAGACAGATATTTCATCATGTAACATATTAAATGAGCCAAACAGCCACTTGTGGATCCAAAGATACAAGGTGCAGATCTATGGAGCTAAATAGATGCCATAAATTGATCTCAAAACACAAAAGTTTGATACCCAAGAGCATTTTTTAAAACTGAAGAAAAATGTTAGTGATATTCTATGTTTGTGTGATTAGTTTTGAAAAATAATAGCTATGCGGAGTTTTGAATATATTTTTGTCGTCTGTTAACATAAGCAGATTAAATCGCTGAGGCATGTTATTTTTCAAAACCAATCGAATATTGATAATGTTTTAAAAATATTTCCAGTTCCCACGGTTCCTGAGTATAACAGCTGGGAATATGTTTCCAGCTGCTGTGTTGAGCTGTGAGTTATGATTTCACACCTGCTGTGATATGAGGCCACGCCCCTAGTGCTTCAGGCCACGCCCTGCGCCAAACATGACAAGTTTTAAACAGAAAAATATGTATCTGAAAAAACTAATTTTAATCTGAAAAGTCGTTTTGAACATTTTTAAAGTTTCTATTTTTTAATTATTATTATTTCTAAAACTAACTTTATGGCCCCTATTGAACTCCACAAGTTTTTGGTGACACCACTGGCCCTGGGACCCACTTCCTTCTAGATCTGGCCCTGCTTACATGCAGAATAAATACAGTAGTTAAAGTTATAGCCTTATTGTTACATAATCCTCTTTTGCAGATTAGTTGATTCTGTACATTTTGCCTCATTTTCTATTAAAAACAACAATTCATGCCCCATCGGAAAAAAATGCTATTAAAATGAATTTATATCTATTGAAGCTAATTTCCTGTGGGAATAATAAAAACAAGCTGTTTGTTTTAGTCATGTTGTTTTGTGGCTCTATAAATGTGTAGCTGAACTGAAGGTGAAACTGACTGCAGGGTTGAAAGGTCACTGACCCTTCAACCCTTCAGGGTTGAAGGGTCAGTTAATATATTAATCAATATGTTTTTGTTTTAACGCATAAAATCCTGTAAATGATGCTTTAAGGCGCAGAGATCACATGATGGTCGTTTCATGGTCTCACCTGATCTGGTATCAAAGGTCACCACAAAAACTGCCACGATCTGGTCCTTCTCCTCCCACTGACCCCGCGCCGTGACCCCGGGGAAGGGGAGGCTGGAGCCGGGAGGCTGCGGGCGGGTGAAGCCGCCCCCGGCCGGCTTGTCCCTGCTCACAACCACAGCAGTGATGTTCCGTGTGGGGCTGTAAGTAACGGCGGTGGGAACGGTGGGGACGGCGGCGGGGACGGCGCCGCTCCACCCCGAGCCGGACGTCGGTGTCCATTTGTCCGCCGCGGCGGTGTCGTCCTGCCGCTGCGGCTCGGGCGGCGGCCGGGCCGCGCGGTTCGGGTCGGGCGGTGGGATCTCCTCGCAGTCCAGCAGCGGGGCTCGGTCCGACTGCTCCACCATGGCGCCGCGGCCTCGGAGCGGGACAGGAGCGGCGGCGGTCCGGCGGTTCGGAGCGGGCGGCGGGTTAGACTCGCTGCTGCGGCCGCATCGCGGTTCCCTGCTGATGTCGGTTGTTTTCCACGGATTTGTAAGCGTGTCACATCCACGGAGTGGCTGCTTTTACTGTTGTGATGACGTAGCTGACTTCCGCCCACGTGTCTGCGTTACTATTTCATAGCATGACCTCATTTTTGTTTATTTATCAGCATAATTCAGTTTTATTGCGGCTTTGATATTTTATCTCCTAAATCTTTTTCATACAGTTTTATGTAAAATATTTCTTTTTAATATTTTACAATTTGACTTGTTTGTCAGACTAAATATAGAAAATAACATTTAAATTACTACAAATACTTTTCATTTTCTTTGGTCCCACATTTAGCATTAACATATTGTAATTGATCTTATTCTGAAGATACCATGATTCGTATTTTAAATTAGTTTTTTTACACTGGTTAATACTTTGAGATTTACATGTAAAGCCAGAAATATTGAACATAATAAAGGTTTGACTGCTCTAATGCCAATAAAGATTCATCTTATTATTGTGTGAGATAACATTTGTATCAATATGTTAAGAACTAAATCTGAGACTCAAAATATTGCTTATTTTTTATCCTGCTTTATTTTAATGTAATATCCTTTATTCTTTTCTTAAACTGTTTTATTTACCTCTTTTGCTCAGTTTCTCGTATTGTAGCAGAATAAAATGTATTGTGTTTCTATGTATTCCTTCACATATTGTTTTATTGATCTTCAACAAATAAAAAGAAAAAACGGTTAAACGATCAGCCAATCAGATCGCTCGCTGCGTTCACCCGGCGCGCTAATTGATTTAAACCGGAAGTATTTACCTGGCTGAACGGAAGGTGTTTGTGCGGAGCGCAGGGCGTTTTGTTTGTAAGGAAACGTGACTTTTTCTCGGGGGCTGAAACATAAATATGTTTTTTTATTCTTCTTTCTCAAAAACATCACATTTTATACGGATAAAACTGGGACGTTTGCATTAAGCAGCGATATTGAGCATCACTTGGAGGCAGCAGGAGGCCCATATTTAACCCTGTGTTTGGTTTTCAGGTCAGAGTTGAGGAACATGAAGGAAAACTTCCACAGCCTCATTCCTCAGGCATGGCGGCTCTGTTCGGAGAGATCAGCCAGAAGCTGGACTTCTCCAGCTGCGGCGAGGAAGGAAACAGCAGCGACAACACGTCCGATGACAGCGCCGGCCTCCCGGAGTGCAGCCCCGCCTGGCCGGCAGGACGCCCCGGGTGCAGCGCCACAGCAGCAGGAGCAACTCCTCCTCGTCCCCCCTGCAGAGCGCCAGCCCCATTCCTTACGCATCCTGGAGGAAACTGAGACTCTGCGACACCCCCAACACTCCCAAGGTAAGAACCACCTGGAGAACATCACGACGATTAAAGGAAGATCTACAGCAGTGGTTGGGACCCAGAGTGGGTCCTGGAGGGCCTGCATGCTGTAGGACCTGGATCCAATGACGGCTCGTTAGAGGAAGAACATTGATATGCTGGAAAGGTTGTTTCTACCAGCAGTGAGAGAACTGAACCCTGCAGGACGCCGACCTCCAGGACCCACTTTGGGCACCACTGGTCCAGAGAAACTCATCCATGAATTCTCTTTAGTGGAACAGTGTCCTCACTGGTCCAGATCGCTGCTGCAGCTGCTGCTGTTCTCACTAAAACCAGGAAGATGGAGCAAATCACCCAGTTCTTCAATCCTTCACTGGCTCCCTGGAGCTCAGAGACACTAAAACATTGTTGGTAGTTTATAAAGCACCACGGTACATTAAAGATCCGCTGTGGTTGGATGAACCTCCCAGACCTTCTGGTTGTGGTCTGCATCCACAGAACCAAATTAGCCTCCATGTTCTGTTCACCACAAATCTGGAACAAACTTAGAGGAAAAAACAGCTGAAACAGCGAGTTCCTTTAAACTCGCTGTTTCCTTTAAAGCCAAACTGAAATCTCAGCTGTTTACAGTTGAATTTGAACCATAATATAAACATTGATCAATATGTTTGATGTCTTGATGATTTTGATGTAATGTTTGTCACCAGCTTCATCTGTGACTTTATGATATGATTTAAAGCACATTGATCTGCCTTGATGCTGAAATGTGCTACACAAGTAAACTTGATTAATCGATTGAGGTGAGTTTCCTCCTCCATGGCTTCTTCTGAGGAACCTGAATCATTTTACTTCATTCTTCTTGCAGAGTTTGCTCTCCAAATCCTCCCAGCCGTTCTCCAACGTTAAGGTCAGTCACCACCAGAGGAGTCTGCGTTTCGCCTCCGCCGCCGCCTGCCTGGTCCAGGCTCCTTCAGTCAACGTGAATCCCTTCACTCCGGAAACGGTCCGCAGAAAGAGCGAGGTGCTGTGGAGGAGCGGCAAAGAGGAGGCCCACGATTACAGCAACAGGTGTTTTACCAGAATATCTCTCATCGATTAGACATTTTAAAGTGCAGACATTTTTCCACAGCATGGAATCAAAACGGACATTTCATCCCTGAAATGTCCGTTCAGGGATTTTTAGCTTATCCCTGAACTTACCTGTTCAGGGATAAGCTAAAAAAAAAACAAAAAACAAAAAACAAATTATACGCAACATACTGTGCAGTTATCAGAAACACCAGATAATTTTATTTTCTTTTTTTATGTGTACATTTTCAGCGACCTTGTTGCGGAAAATGTTCTTCATAAATAAATTACCTTTCATTACATTAACAATTGAAATATCAGAAAATAATACATATGGAAATTAGAAGGAGAAGAAAGTAAGGAAAAGGCCTCATAAATATAACACATAAATATAACCTTCAAGATAACAGTTGTGTACTTAAATATTTTATCAATCAAAACCATTTTTATCTTTACATCAATGACTCTGACCAGCTTTTGGAGATCGTGGAAATTCATGCAAAATCAGCAGATCCACACACTGTTTTTTGTTTTCTTGGGTTTTTTTTTTTTTGGGGGGGGGGCAATAATGTGTAACTTTGAGTTCACTGCAATTTTATTCAAAAATTTGTCCAAAACTTTGGGATTAAATTATGCTAACCCCCACCTGTAGGTAGCAGTACTTCCTGCTTTTAGTTCTCTGTAGCCTTAGCTGATGTCAAGTTATATTCTGTGATTAATACAATATGTATCAAAAGTCAAAGATCATAAAATTTCTCGCATACATTTCCAATTTAGCACCACAAAGTAAACAATTTTTACTGCAAAAAAAATGACAAAAGCAACTATGAAATTGTGGAGGGCTGATCAATGTGAAAAGATGTCGAATATTATTTAGTGATAGCTATTTACTATTTTAACAGTTTAATATTTTAACACTTTTAAAACATTCATGATCTTGATGTGGGACAAAATAATTTTTTTCTTCTTTAAAAAATTTGACCATCAAAAGTGAAAAAGTTTTCAAGCTTCACATTCTGAAAAAAAATTAAAGTAACTGTGGAACTGGAAATAAATAATTCTCCTGAGTTTTCTTTATTAATTCACCAGATATAAAAAAGTACTGCAGACTGACAAACAGGTACTGATATACAAAATAACCAGTTTGACAAGAGAATGAAGATTTAAAAATAAGCAAAAAAGAGATGCACTTTAAAAATAAATTTAAGACAAAACAGAATTTTAATTGTTGATAGTATGTGGGATACATGTTTTTCTTTTAATCTTTGCAGTTATTTTCAGATTTTGTGTCATATAATGAAATTGAGTATTCAGTTAAGAATATCTGGAACATTCAGATGGAGCTGATTATTTATGGCTTTTTCGTGTGACAAGGAGAATTGGAATTATATTCTGGATTTATCGCGCTGATGGAGGAAATGCAGATGAAATGAAACTAATGTGATCTCTGTTTTAATTTTCATGTGGTTATGTTGGGGGCTTCTGTTAAAAATCTTCTAGGTTGAAGCACAGCCTGGCGTCATCTGAAGAGGATGATGAAGCCTTCCTCCCACCAAAGGTATGACTATTTTTATCGATGCCCACGGCTGAAAATAATCCAGCCTATCAGATTCATCCGCTGAGCCTTCATCATCGGCTCTGTCATCTTCAGCCGGCGCCTCGTTTTGTCCAAAATGACTCTGTTTCCGGATTCCTCTGAGGAAATGAAAACTGACTGCTGTCAGACGCCGTTTGGTTTTTTTGGTTGTTTTAGGGAGGAAGCAGCACCATATTTGGTGAGATCAAAGAGAATCCGGCCTTCCTCTGATGCTCTGTACGGAGCTAAATCAGGGCCATAAAGTTTGTTCAAAAGAAAAAAAAATTAAACTGGGAAAAAAAAAAAAATTGAAACTTAAATTAATTTGAAGAAAATTTGAAAGTGGGAGAAAAAAATTAAAGGAAAAAAACTGAATCTGAAAAGTAGTTTAATGTTTTCAGTCAAATATTTGAAAAAGTATTAGATAAAATAAAAACAAAATTTTATTTTCAGTTTGAAATGTTTTTTTCCCGTTTCAAAGCTTTATTTGAATTTCTGTGTTTTTTTTTTTTTTTCAGTTTGAAAACATTTTTCAGTTTGTATTTCTTGTACTGTGCTGCTGTTAGAAGTGTTTGTTGGTTCTGGTCCCACCAGCGCCGAGCGGTCCAGGCCTTCATGCTGTCGCGCTACGAGAGCGAGTTCCTGCAGCTGGAGTGCATCGGCGTCGGCGAGTTTGGCGCCGTCTATAAATGCGTGAACCGGCTGGACGGCTGTCTGTACGCCGTGAAGCGCTCCAGGCGACCCCTGGCCGGCTCCGCCAACGAGTGAGTTTGGGTCGCCGCCGGGTGGGATCGGGTCGGGTCCGTTCGGTGCGTTACTCGTTTGGTTTTCCTCCCAGGCAGCTGGCCTTGAAGGAAGTGTACGCTCACGCCGTGCTGGGCCACCACCCTCATGTTGTCCGGTATTATTCAGCCTGGGCAGAAGACGACCACATGCTGATCCAGAACGAATACTGTGACGGTGAGGGACGCACCACAGCCTGAAGGAAATACAGGAATCATTAAGCATGGAGGTCAGAGGTCGGAGCTGGGGGTGATAAGTGACAACAGTCAGTTCCTTAGATAGCTACAGTTTGACATTAATCCAGTCAGTCCGTCTGTCTGTCTCCATCTGGTTGGAGATCAGATTATCTACAGTTTGCATTTCAGAGTGAAGTTTCTAAACTCTGATCCTTTTAGAGACAAGAAAAATACAAACATTTTTTTTTGTCTCTCAGTCACATTTTTGTGGTGCTACTTTAGAAATATTTGCAAGGAATTTCGCAATATTCTTTTTCCTGATTAAACGCCTGTCCAAAATCCATATAGATTAAAAAAATGACAAGCAGAATGATCGGATAAAAACGTTTTTATTCTTTAAGAGCTCAAACACATCGATTTGTCACTCGTTGCATTGATCACAAACTAACTGGGCATCAAGTCAGGCTCAGGCAGCAGCGTAGTAGCAGAGGAATTACTGCCACCTGCAGGTTGGTGTTGGTATCACGCCATGTTTTTCATTTTTCAGGAACGTATACAGTAGTCTCAGTTATGCATTATTGTGAAAAACAAAATTGGAATTTGTATAAATTTAATTGCAGGGCTTCATGCTAAAGAAGCACATAAAGTTCAGTTCTGTCTGTACTGCTCATCCTGCTGTTGGTCTGGTGGGACATAGAAACAGAATTTTTGGTTTTTATTTCCTGAATCCTCAAAATAAACAGAAATAAATAACTTTGTGTGGGGAGAATTTGCAGAAAATCAAATTTGCTTTCATTGAAGTTACTGTAATAAACAATTAATCAATTTTTCTAATTTAAGGTGGAAGCCTGAGTGACGCCGTCATGAAGAAGTCAGCGCAGGGTGAGCTGCTGACGGAGGCGGAGCTAAAGGATCTGCTGCTGCAGGTGGCGATGGGTCTGAAGTTCATCCACAGCTACAGTCTGGTCCACCTGGACATCAAACCAAGTTCGTTCCGTCTGCTTCTGTGTTCATACTGGCATCTGCAGCCTTCCTTTTCCCCAAACCTGCAGCTCTCTCTTTACATCCAACCTTCCTGTTCACTAAAGCTGTTGTGCTCTCCTGTAGGTAATATATTCATCTGCCAGCAGCCCAGCACCGCTACAGTAGAGAGAGTGAGGGGGAAGATGACGAGTACTCTTCAGGCAGAGTCCTCTATAAAATTGGTATTTAATGTGCCTCTTTAAGTGGGCCAATTCAAGAAAAGCTCTGTCTACTATGGAGTTTTCAATCTATAGAAAAATATCATCCATGTTTTAATAGTTTTGCTTTCTGTTTCATCCTGGTTTCCTGCAGGTGACCTGGGTCATGTAACCTCAGTGAGCCGGCCTCGGGTCGAGGAGGGGGACAGCCGCTTTCTGGCCAAAGAGGTTCTGCACGAGGTGAAGAACGTCTTGGTGTTTTGCTAGCTGCATTAATTTTAATTATGAAATAAATTTGCTTTATGAAAACTAGTCTATTAAAAAAAAACAAAAAAAAAAAACTCAGCTTTGTGGTTTTTCGTACCAGAAGCAAAAATTGCCAATTGGTAAAACCATAAATATCTTTGAATATTTTATCAGCTGCATAGAAAATAGTTTATTTTAAAAACTGCTGTGAAAAAACTTTTTTCACATCACCATAGTCATGTGATCAACAGGATGTTGCTACTTGAAGAAATGACAGACAGGAAGTAGTAGAAGGATGATGATGATGATGGTGCGTTTGTTTTTTTTTAGTTTTTTTAAACGTCTTATCTGAATAAGCTTATTCGTGTATGATTTTAATCGGCCATCTTATTTAATGGAAACACTACAATTTAAATTTTATTTATTTTTGAAGAAAAACACCAGTTCTGTGAACATTTGTAAACCTGGCTGCTATGGAGCCAATAAACCAGAAGTTCTTTCTCCCATTAACCTCCTGTTTGGTTTCGTCCTCAGAACTACGCCCACCTGCCAAAGGCGGACATGTTTGCTTTGGGTCTGACGGTGCTGCTGGCGGCCGGCGCCGCTCCGCTGCCCCCTAATGGAGAGGAGTGGCACCGGCTCCGTGAGGGGCAGCTCCCCCTGCTGCCGCAGCAGCTTTCTCCAGCTTTCAGAGGCTTACTTCAGGTATTAGTAATCTATTATTCTATAGATTGATCTTATTCTTTTACAGCAGAGAGCAGGTAATGCAGTTACTCAACAGCAATTAAGAAAAATTTACTCCGCTGCACATTCATACAAGAAGTATCAAACTTACTCAGGAACCAACTGACAGATGAGATGCATTTTATTTGCTAGTCTTGCGTGTCCCTCCCCTCTGTGATGCTGCCCTGGGCAACTGTCCATATCAAAAAGCGGCAATTTATGCATATAAATGCCAAACATGTTTTAAGATTCTCCGTTTTCCAGGTTTTTATATTTCTATATTCAAAGTCTGCAAGGAATTCATTTTATTTTATTTTATCATGTTAATTTAGAAATCTCTCTCTCTGTTCATTTTCTGTGAACTTGAGTAATGAGGCGACAGTCAGTTGCTCTCATCCAGTCGAGCTTTTCAGCAAAATTTCATGTTTTAGACTGTACTCCAGTAAACGATTAATTGATTAAATACGTTGAATATTATTTGAATAATCGATTCATCACAATGAATCAGATTTAGCGTTTCAGCTCTGGCTGAATTTGGAGCCTCCACCCGTCTAAATGTCCCTGTCCGTCTTTATCTCGTCCCCTCAGTTGCTGCTGGACCCGGATCCGGTGAATCGTCCGTCTGCCAGAGAGCTCTGCAGGCACCCGGCGCTGAGGGAGAAGCGGACCGAGCGGCTGAACGCGCAGCTGCAGCGGGAACTCAACGTGGAGAAGTTCAGGACCGCCATGCTGGAGAAGTAAGGAGGCAAGATGGCTGCCACCTTCTGGTCAGACATGGTATTACCATAAAATAGGCGGGTTGGCTGCCATCTTCTGGTCAGACATGGTATTACCATAGAGGTTTTATGGAAGCCCGTTTCTGCTCTTTATTTTAAAAAATATATAATTTTTAAAAATATTGACAGTAAAATCAATATTATTGACATCAGTAATGGATTAATTAAGTCAAAACTACAAGTCTCGGTCATAATTTGAAACTGTAAAGTAATTACAAGAATAAATCATAAAAGATTTTTTGTTATAATTTTGAGTATTAAAGTAATTGTCATTTTTTTAAAGTCATAATTATGAAAATAAAAGCCATAAATTGAATCTCCAAATACTTTAAAAATCAAAACTGTTAAAATGTTCATTTAAAAATCATAATTTTTAAATTGTCAAATATTTGACAATTCAATGTTCATTTGGGCATTGACAGTTAATGTCAATATTATTGATGACAGTTAATGTCAATATTATTGGTAACAGTTAATGTCAATATTACTGGTGACTGTAATATTGATATTATTGATATCAATAACTGACTTTAGTTAAGTATTGTTTTAAAGTCTTATTTATGAGGATAAATTGAGTTTTAGTCACAGAATAGCTCATAAGTCTGATAATTACAAGAAAATAAGTTGTATGAGTTTTAAAAGTTGTCATTTCGAACTGAACAGGTGCTAATGAATGTCATAATTTAGTTTTCAAGTTATAATTACGAGAATTGGTCATATTTACGTGAATAAGGTGTAATTTCGGCTTTTAAAGTTGGTCACAAAATTAAGTCGTAAACATACTTAACAGTTATTACAAACGGTGCAAGTTTAACCCAAAAATTAAAATTATGGCTTCAAAACTCATAATCTTCCTGACTTTTTTCCTGTTGACTTCCTGTTGACTTTTTTTTTTCTCATGGTGCAAACGGGCTTCCATAGTTTTTCCTTCAGGTAGAAGTGAGGCACACTATCACCAGGAGGCGCTAGAGGTCGACAGCCATAAATCTGAATATATGGTGAAATGAGCTTTTAGTTTATGCTTCTCATTAATTGTATTTATTTTTACGCAGGGAGCTGCAGGAGGCGCGGCAGGCTGCGTTGTCCCTGAAGCAGAACCCTGCTGTGAAACCTCCCAGCAAGGTGGGCTCTGTACCAAGAACGGGGAGGAAACTCGTTGGCAGGAAAACTGCTCGATCTGTCAGCTTCGATTGTCCAGGGTACGGAGTCTGACATTATGATGATCCTGAGAAATGTGTTCATTAAAGTTGTGGCTCTAAATACAAAGTGAAGCAATCTAACAGGAATGAGAGCAGACATGGCTACGTGTTCATTCTTGTGTGTTGTTGTGGAACTGAAACTCTGCAGAGGTGAATTTGTTTCCTGCACATCCTGTAACTGCATTAATCCAACATACTTGGCTGCTCTTTGACTTTTATCCTTTTTTATTATTGTAAATAAACATTTTAATTCCTTTCTAATTCATGGAATTTTTATTTTAATTTAACTTTTTGTTTGTTACCAAGTTGTGCTCTTTGTTATTTTAAGGGACTTTCCAGTGGGAGGGATTTTTCCCTTTATCAGATACTTAGGAAGTGTGAGCCATCCAGCTGTACGGTCACGAGTTGGGCAGTTCACTGACATCAGTTATTTCTATAACTCTTCCTAACAGACCTCATTTTAAATGGAGAAAACTCTTGCAAAAATATATTTTGACATTTCTTGTCTTTGTTTTTCTGGCTTGTTTTTTTTTTTTTTTTTTTTTTTTTTTTGGTTTTTGTTTCTCTACAACTTTCTTATATTGGTCCATTTTACAATTTTTCTTAAACCACCTCAGCTCCGTTTGGATATTTAGGCCATTTCACCCAAACTACAACCTCGTTTATCTCAGCTGTTCAAATACTAGAGATTACTTCACTGGCGATTAGAACTACAGTACATGAACAAGCCTCGTTCTTGGGTGGACGAATTCTTATGTCCAGTGAATGCGTCCCTCCAGCTTCAACCTTGCCATGCTTTCTGTTGTTGTCTCCTCCCACCCCCTATTTTTTTTTTTTTTTTTTTTTTTTTGTGCAGTATACTGAACATTACGGTATCCAGATCAAAACAAAATCTTAAGAAGTGACATTGCCGCTTGTATTTTTTTTTTATTAAAATAAGGCAAAATGGAAAAAGTATGAACTTTTCTTAGTTGGATGGGTGAAATTTTGTAAAGATATTTTTACGCCTGAAACATGACTACCGTAATACTTGGTCCTCGTGCACCATTAGAGCGTTGAGTTGGAAGAAGTCGCTCAGTTCAGCGCTGGAGGCTGATGCGGTAACAAGGTTGCGGGTTTTCCAGCTTCAGAGTTAATATCACTATCTAAACCTTTTACTTAAATGTTTTCAAGACCACAGGGAGCCGCGAGTGAGTCTGTCTCTTGCTGTTGATTTGTTGTCAGCAGTTAGCAGCTTAGGTTAAAGTGAACTTTTAGATGCTAATCAAAGTTAGCATGAAGCTACTGTTTTTCCTCATTGACCGTCAAAGTTTGAACAGTTTGAACTGGGTTTCCGTAACGCTTTTCATCAGTTTAATGTGACTTGTGTCCAGAGTTTGTTGGCTTGTCCAGTGAAGTGAAGGCTCGCTGTTTCCCCGTTGAGCAGAGCGGATGTTGACCGGCCGTCAATGGGAGACTTGCGGTTTCTAGCGGAGCAGCGAAGCGCGCTCTGGTGGTTTTCTTCTTCCTCCAGCCTGATTCCGCAGACCTGAACTACAGCAAGCAGCTTTACGCCAAAGGACACGAACTGATTGCATCCCGGGAGATCAACGATAATGGAAACCAGGTGGAAGCTGAGGATCACGGGGAGGAACACGGGGAGCTCCAGACGGACGGACATCTGCCCGGAAACATCACCGGGTGTCTGGAGGACATCCTGCCGCTGGTGGAGCTGCCTCGGCCGGGTCAGTAGCTCTGTCCCCCCTGGGAGGCCTGGCCGTCAAACTTTACACACAGTAGCGACAAAAATCTGGAGGATGACTTTAATTTTCATAGCCAAAGCTGGTTTCCATACTGATGATCTATAGACAGTGGAGCAGAGGCGGATCTAGACCAGATTTACCAGGGGTGCCAGGTTGGGGTCTGCTGCTGTGTCATGTTATCTTGTTAAATGAATAACAAGATAATATTTCCCCCAGAGGATATATTACCCTCCAGATGTTAATGTTTCCCCTGGAGCTGCAGAACTAGGAAATGGAAAGTGATCTTGTCTCAACAAAGCTAAAACTGCAGAACCTCAGTTTTTATTTAACAAAAATTTGTGAGGGAAAAATACATTAGTAAAGAGGAGCAATTAGCTGTCATTTAATATCATTATAAAACATTTCTTTAGTATTATCTCATAAGAAAAGGGCACTGGCCCCCGTGTAGAAGCACCCCTGCTGGCTGGTTCCACTGAATCACAGCTGATCTGTTATTTCAGTAACAACAACAAACCAGGAAACTGAAAGTAAAAACAGACAACACTGATACTGTTGGGAGTTTTAGACTTCCCCTTCAGTTCTACATCTAAACCTGTTTTGTTCATGTGATGTAAGAACGACCTCTGATCAGGCAGAACATTATGACCACTAACAATTATGTTAACATACTTGGCATGTGGAAGGAATCACAAATGACAGAAAATATTGTCAAATAGGTATTTTAAAGAGAAAAATCTACCACACTCTGAATTGAAGTATTAGAGTGAAGCTACAAGTTATTTTTTTAATTAGATAATAAAGTAGTAAAATTGGCCAGATGTATTATTTTTTTCCAGAAAACTTTTTAAAATTATGAGAGCATTTTTTTCTTGAGAAGAAAAAAAACTTTAATGGATTTTTAAAGTTCTGATATGACCAGCCTGGTTCATGTGTCTTTCTTCAAAATACATTATTATCTATGTAAGTATTATCTTCTTACGATTCTCAACATCCACATTTTAGATTTTCGGGGGGGGGTTCATGTTGGAGTTCTCATAAAATTACGACTTCATTCTCCTAATATGATTATATTCTGGTAGTTAAAAAATACATAAGTTTACTTTATCGTAGAGTTGACATTTTAAAGTCTTAAACACGGTTGACAAACAAAATGGCTGCCCTGGGTGATGACATCACTCTGATCTGCAGAGACCGGAGGAAAAAATCCAATTTTACAAAAATATGCTGTACTGTCTTTTGCCTCCTAGTTGCTCTATGAGTTTATTATATTAGTTGGACAGATTGCCCAAGTGTCAACAAGGAAGGAAATAAAAATTTCAGATAGTTTGAGGAGCACAATGATCAGTCTGACTTCATCTCCTAGCCTCCAAATTCCCCATGTTAGTGAAATCCAGCGTCTGGGAGACGTTCTGAATGCCTCTCAGCTTTGCTTTTATCAACATGGTGTCAAAAATGGCAGGAAACCTGAGAGTTTAGTAAAGATCCTGCAGAAAACGGTGATGCAGACGGACGACCCGTCAGCCCTGATGGGTGTTTGAGCTCCGTTAAGAGTCCAGCCCGTTCAGCAGTTTGTGGGGGGAAGTGACGGCGCTGATGCCTTGACTCTTATCTGTTTCTGCAGGAGGCCAGCAGGAAGTCAACATCCAGGCCGTTGCTCAGGAGCTGAGAGAGATCGCGGCCCAGTTCGAGCTGCAGGTGGTGGCGCGGGCGGCGCAGAACCTGGCCAGGAACGTCTCCGAGTCGCCTTCTGAGGTGAGCGCTGCACCCACCGCTGCAAAGATCAGAACTAGCAGGTTTCAAATCAAAACTCATAGAAATCTGGGAATTCTGTTCCTTACGGGGCTGCAGCTAACAATTATTTTAGTTGATTAATCAATTATTCTGACGATTAATCAGATTTAAGAATTGGCACCTTCTGCAGATTGTTTATTGAATCACTTGAGCCTTTTTATACAATTTTAGAAATATATAAAAAGATTCAAATAAGTCCTTTTTAAAATAAGAAAATATAAATAAAATGGCACCATGTGCCTGGAAAACACATATTACTGTCCCTTTAACTGAAAAATGTCGATATTTGTCTTAAGATCTGCTCAGTGATGTTCTCGCAGCACATTTCCTTTTTTCCAGTCAGGATGTCTCCTGCTAACAATGAATCGATTACCAAATCAGATGCTGATCGTTTCACTCATTGATTGTGAATAATTGCTTGTTTGTCACTGATTTGCTGTTCTGACCGGTTCTGTTGGTCTGCTGCCCATCAGCTGGGGAACCATCTTGTGAACGAGGTGGAGCGGCTGCTCAGGGAGTTTTCTCTGAAGGATTTGCCCCAGGAGCAGGTCGTCGTGGCCCTGACCTTGACCCTAGTGAAGGGCGTTTGCATCCAGGCTCCGCGGCTGCTGAAGGGCCTCTTCGACACGGCCGTTCGGTTCATCTGCCATCGGTGGACCAGATGAGTTTCCTGCGGCACAGGAAGTGACTGAAGGATGTGGCCCCGCCCCCTCGGCCCAGCTGTGCTGTAGAAACGTTACTGATGGATTAAACTGCAGAATTATTCATAAAAAGAAGGAACTGAAAGTCAGCACTTGAATTTGTTTCATGGTTTACATGTTTCTGTTTACTAAAGCAGGCATCAAATATGCATGCAAATTTATACTCTGTACTTGAATTAAATGATCAAACTGTTTTTGTCTGTGCATCAGGGCTGGTTCACCCAGAACTGAACATTAATTTCAGCGCTCGTCGGCATTGAGTTCATATTTTTTAATTAATGTAAATAATAAACTGCTGGAGATCAACTTCTGACTGGACGCTTTCATAGTTTTTGTTTTTAGCAGAAGATAAAAGTTTCCAGCTCAGACTTTTGGTTTTACTTTACGTCTGCATGGAAGACGGTTTTGTAACAGATTGTTGCAACTCTGGGAGTTTTACAGATTAATCTCATCTTTAAAAATGTTTGAGATCCACAATGAAGGTTGCTTTCATTTGCAAGCAGGACTGCTTTAATCACCATGGTAACAACATATCCCATAATTTAGGCCCCACGCTGGCAGCGTTTCCTCGTAATTACAACTTACTTTAAAATTCAAAATTACAAAAACTTATCCTTGTAACCATTTATATGCACAAGTTATCAAAAAAAATTACTATACATAACAAACTCAAATATGATAAATTCTTGTAAACTTATCCTTTAAAACTCAAAATTATACCATATTTTTCTACAAATTACTTTAAATTTGTTTTATCAAAAAATCTCAAAGTTGCAACTTCTTGTAATTATGACTTCCTGTTTGATTTTCTTCTTTCAAGGCAGGAATTGTCTTCCGTATTTCTGCCTTCAGCTCCTGTTTTACAGCAGCATTAAACCTTCATATTTAAATATTTCCACTCGTCTCTGGGGGAAAAATATTTTATTCAAAAAGACAAAAACCTTGTTGCATGTGCAGTAAAATGTGCAACAGATGATTTTTGTACCAGAACTTCCTGCCTGGATTCACAGAAAATAAAATATTTCATTAATATTCATTTTTCAAAAAATCTAAATCTCTTTTGCTTCTGGAAAAGTTAGAAAACCATAAAAGGTGAGACAGAAACGTGCAGAAGACAGAGTGAGGAGGAGATGATCCTGCTTCAGGGCCCGGTTCTTTTGGACCGGGCCGACCAGAGAAACCCGGCACTAAGGAGCTTTTACATCAAGAATAGGACATTTATTTAATTAATTTCTACCTCCTCCCTGCACAGAATCAGGCTGAAGGTCACTGCGGCGACCAGAACCACAACCGCTGCGCCATACAGCAGAACCGGGAACTCTTCCTCCGATTCTGGTTCTGGTGTCGCTGGGGTCTGGGGCGACTCTTTCGGAACCTCCAGAACCGGAACTTTTTCAGCCAGGACCTCTGGCGCAGGGGGCTCAGAAGAATCTGGTTCCGGTTCTGGTTCAGGCTCAGTGTTCTGTTTGGGGATGGACACTGGTTCTGGCCGGGTTTCAGGTTCTGCTGGTTCTGGTGAGACTTCCTCAGCTTGAGTCGTGGCTTCCACCTCGACAGGCACTGGGGCGGGTTGAGGTTCAGGTTGAGGTTCGGGTTGAGGTTCGGGTTCGGGTTCCGGGTCGGGTTCTACCCCAGCAGCAGGAGGCGGGGCTTCTGCTTCTGGGGACAAACTCTTAGGCGTCTCCATGGCGACGGGCTCCTCGGGAAGCACCAGGGACAATGGCGGCTGTGCGTGCAGAACCGGGTCTCCGAGCTCGACCCGCAGCGCCACCAGGTCGCTCTCGGACATCAGCAGGCTCATCGTGTTCTCCATGGTGTCGCCGTCGCCGTCCTCCTCCATGAGTTCCGCCTCCTCCCGCTCCACATGGACGATGTCGGAGTTGGAGGAGTTGTTCTCGCGCTCCTCGGACAGCGCCACGCCCTCGCCGCCGTGAAGGTCCTTCACGTCTTCGGGGTCCATCAGGTCGACCTGCGCCCACGACTCGTGGCCGCCCAGGGACGCCGGCAGGACGTCCGTCTGCCAGGAGCTGGGCTCGCCGCTGTCGCCGGTGCTGAGCGTGCCGGGCTGCTGCTCCTCTGGCAGGATGTAGATGTCGTTGCTGTCGTCGGCGACGGCCGCCGCGGGCTCCTCGTCCTCGTTCTGCACCAAGCTCAGAACTTTACCCTGCGACAGAACCAGGCAGACAAGATGGCGGACACACATCAGAAGCAGAAAAATAATGGCTGCGTTCACACTGTAGGTTCTGATTCCCAATCCAGTTTGATTCGGTTTGAAATACAAATTTGTTCTGCTTGGTTGTTCCTGTCCCTGATCATTTAGTGCTTTACCTTTAGCACAGCTAATGTTTGTTTTTTAGTGCTTTAGCACAGCTGCTGTTTGTCTTTTAGTGCTTTAGCACAACTAATGTTTGTTTTTTAGTGCTTTAGCACAGCTAATGTTTGTTTTTTAGTGCTTTAGCACAGATAATGTTTGTTTTTTAGTGCTTTAGCACATCTAATGTTTGTTTTTGTGCTTTAGTACAGCTAATGTTTTTTAGTGCTTTAGCACATCTAATGTTTGTTTTCTAGTGCTTTAGCACATCAAATGTTGTTTTTTAGTGCTTTAGCACAGCTGCTGTTTGTATTTTAGTGCTTTAGCACAACTAATGTTTGTTTTTTAGTGCTTTAGCACAGCTAATGTTTGTTTTTTAGTGCTTTAGCACAGATAATGTTTGTTTTTTAGTGCTTTAGCACATCTAATGTTTGTTTTTGTGCTTTAGTACAGCTAATGTTTTTTAGTGCTTTAGCACATCTAATGTTTGTTTTCTAGTGCTTTAGCACATCAAATGTTTGTTTTTTAGTGCTTTAGCACATCTAATGTTTGTTTTTAGTGCTTTAGCACAGCTGCTGTTTGTTTTTTAGTGCTTTAGCACAACTAATGTTTGTTTTTTAGTGCTTCAGCACAACTAATGTGTTTTTTAGTGCTTTAGGACAGCTAATGTTTGTTCTTTAGTGCTTTAGCACATCTAATGTTTGTTTTTAGTGCTTTAGCACATCTAATGTTTGTTTTTTAGTGCTTTAGTACAGCTAATGTTTTTCAGTGCTTTAGCACATCTAATGTTTGTTTTTTTAGTGCTTTAGCAAATGTAATGTTTGTTTTTTGTGCTTTAGTACAGCTAATGTTTTTTAGTGCTTTAGCACATCTAATGTTTGTTTTCTAGCGCTGTAGCACATCAAATGTTTGTTTTTTAGTGCTTTAGCACATCTAATGTTTGTTTTTTTAGTGCTTTAGCACAGCTGCTGTTTGTTTTTTAGTGCTTTAGCACAACTAATGTTTGTTTTTTAGTGCTTTAGCACAGCTAATGTGTTTTTTAGTGCTTTAGCACAGCTAATGTTTGTTTTTAGTGCTTTAGCACATCTAATGTTTGTTTTTGTAGTGCTTTAGCACATCTAATGTTTGTTTTTAGTGCTTTAGTACAGCTAATGTTTTTTGTGCTTTAGCACATCTAATGTTTGTTTTTTAGTGCTTTAGCACATGTAATGTTTGTTTTTTAGTGCTTTAGTACAGCTAATGTTTTTTGTGCTTTAGCACATCTAATGTTTGTTTTTTTAGTGCTTTAGCACATCTAATGTTTGTTTTTTAGTGCTTTAGCACATGTAATGTTTGTTTTTTAGTGCTTTAGTACAGCTAATGTTTTTTAGTGCTTTAGCACATCTAATGTTTGTTTTTTTAGTGCTTTAGCACATGTAATGTTTGTTTTTTAGTGCTTTAGCGCGGCTGATGTTTATGATTAGTTCTTCAGCTTTATCACAGCTAACCTTTTAGTTAGCAATACCCAGAAGAGGAGAAGGTCCAGGACAGAAATCATTCAGCCTGTGATGCATCCAGAGGAGCTCCAGTCTGGTTAACATGTTCATTTCAGACGCCGGTTATTTCCACCATGATCTTCATATAAATAGTTCGGTAGTTCAAGTCAAAAATACTTTATTTAGCTCAAAGTTAAATTCATTGTTCTCATAATTTATATCATCTAGTCTTTGATTAGTTGTGGGGTTGTGAATATTTTCATGATTTCTGGTCCATAATTCAGATTATAACCTGGAACACGCTGTGGATGGTAAACAGGATTTAACCGGCAGTGTCAGTCGTTTGACTGACAGGAAGGGCGAACGGTTTGACAACACAGCAGACAGAAAGCGTCTGACAGAAGAGCGATTCACTCATTTTCAACCAAAGAATATCCAGAACTTGCAAAAAGAAAATAACTGAAGGTTATTCTCTGCATGTCAGCTGGTGAGAGCAGAGAGATTAAATCTGGGAACGCTCCAGAATTATCCAACATCCGTATTCTCCCTAAGCTGCTTTACATGTGGAACAGCAGGAGCACTTTCCAAAATCCTCCAGAATGGCCTTCCAACACCAATCAGCTGCTTTTCACCCACATTAACAGACATTTAAAGGCAGTTTAACAACAGCAAGTCACTATGAGCCACAGATGAAACATTTCAAACATGAAGCTTTACCGTTTTATCCCAGCTAACCTTCAGGTCGGTCGTGCAGATTTGCGCGTTGCTGACCTTGAACTGTGCTGCAGCTGCCAAACATTAACCTACGCTGGGCTTCGTTGCCAGACGCAGATCTCCGCCCTCGCCTGAAGACAAACCCAGACGGCAGATTCCTGGGTCGGAGCCAGAGCCGCCTCTGTTTTTCACTCTCACTGAAATTCTAATCTGACCTGAGATCAGCACAGGCAGGGCGACACACCGAGGAACTTACCAAACTAAATCCCTGAACTCATCAAAACAAAACATGTTAGCATCGTTTGGAGACTGCAGTTCTCAGAGATGCACATAATCAACATTTATTGACTAATTCGGCTCCAGTTGATTGGGTCGCATCAATAAGTTCACCATCTTGGCACCAGGAGCAAATAAGTTCTGAAAATGATTCAGATTTATTTGGTTAGAAAAGTCGCTAAACACAGCGAGAAAGTGGCTGCATATGTGCAGAGTAGAGCTCAAACGATTGATTATTGAAATAATTGGCCTCTAATTTAGTAATTAATTAATAACTGCGGTACAGACTCTAAAAAAAGCCGTTTTTTGGAAAAAAACATGTCCACTGCAGTAATTTAGCCAAGACTGCACACAAAAAATTGCATTAATATTTAAAAATCTTCTTAAATCTCTTCTACCCAGATCTCCTGCTGTGCAGTTTTAGCTTCGCCTGGTTCAGATTCTGGAAAAATTAGTCACCGTTTGATTATTGATCAATAATCAGCAGGTCATCCCTACACTGTATTGATATTCAGTCCAGCAGAAAAGATGGAGATTTTCACATTCTTGGCAATATAATGATCATTTTCTAATTCTATTAGAAAAGAATTTGATTATTTGCATTTTAAAATGTCTTACTAATATTGTACATAAAAGGCAAAGTGTTTTTTATCTGATTAATCGATTAATCACCAATATAGTCAATTATTAAAATGATTGTTAGTTCTAGTCCCAATTTTCTTATTTAAAAAGTAGATTTTTAAATCACATAAAAGAACAGAAATTGTGTTCTGCTGCTGATCCAGAACGGGTCGTGATGAACGTGTTCCACCCTGGAGCCGGTGAGCGAATCGCTTACGTAAGTCCGGGAGCTGGCTGCGGCGTGAGGCTGCGGCGCGAAGCTGCTGCAACGCAAGGCTGCTGCAGCACGAAGCTGCTGCGGCATCAGAAATGTTTTGCATGTTCCCAGATATCCTGCTTTGACTATCAGCTGTCGGGTTCACAGCGTTTCACCTTCATCCTCCCAGGATTCAACGACTCAAACCGCAGGAGAAAATGGCTGACGTCAACTTTGAGATCAGCAGTTTCCAGAAGGAGAAGGACGGCCGGCTGGTTCTTTGCGCTGCCAGACCTGCAGAACCCGACCCGGGCTTTGTTCCTGCCAAACCGACTGTGAACCACATTAGGCTCATAATGAACCTCATTGTTTTCTGCTCCAACAGTCAAAACCCAGCATCCTGCTCCGGTTTCATCTCAGAGACGTTAACAACGGCCTGGCAGACAAAATACATGATCTGGAGTACGAAAAAGAAATACGATACAGAGAAACAAAGTCGGGCTGAAACGATTATGATTAATCGATTATTGACATAATTGACATCTAATTTAGTAACTGATTAACTAAAGGAAAAGGCCATTTGAGATAAAACATTTGTCTGCAATATGTTTTAGCCAAAACTCCTAAATTATGATTTGCATATTAGATTTTTTTATATATATACTCATTTCTAACATTGTACTAGAAAGGCTTAAATAGTTCAATGGAAAATCTGTAGAATGCAACTATTTTTATGCAATTAATTAATTGTCAGATGAATCGATTACAAAAACAATCGTTAGTTTCATCCCTATAAAGAAGCCTGAAGAACCACAGGAGGCGGCAGCGGCCATGTTGCCAGGAAGAGGAGACCTTCTCAGCACCTGGAAATGAGTTTGGGTTTTTGTCGCTCCACAGGAAAACGTCTCACCTCGGCGTAAAGTCCTGCGGCGCCAAATCGCACCTCAGCGCACAAATCTGTGGAGATCCAGCCGGACAGGAGCCACAAGACAGAGCTCAGGTCGCAGTTCGTGAGTCGGGCGCCAGCATGCAGCCGTCAAAGTGGAAGAGATGCAACTTTGCTCCCACTGGCTGCTGTCGCTCGGCCGGCCCTCCCCTCCCCGCCTCTTTCCTCTTCATCCCTTCATCAGCCATCCCGTCATCTGTTCAGCTGTGACGCAGCGTTGTGGGAGAATGCAGCTTTGTCTGCAGTAATGGAGCGGCGATAACGTGCCGAGTCACGTGGCTTCTCATCAGTGACCTCGTTTACAGCCAGCAGCGCTCCCCTCACTTCTCCAAAGCAAACGCTGAAACGACGCGTCGATACGAGACCTGGAGCGTTCGCCATCGATGACGACCAGTCAGTCCGATTTTTAAATGACTGCAGCCTCTAAAACAAATAAAACGTCTTCCAAATCTTACTTCAACAAGGAACCACCTTCTGTGGGTCTCTACTGTATCGTTTATAATTTATAGAAGTTTGAGTGATTGTTATCACAATTAATTATGTTTAAAAAACTGTCCATATTTCAGGGATTGCTAATTAGACTTTTTAAATCAATAGCTGTCACATTTAACACAGATTAAATGAAGTGAAACAAATCAAACATCTTTATGTGACTGGCAGGATTTGTTGGAGTCATGCAATAAGTTGCTGCTGTCACAGCAATAAGTTGCTGCTGTCACAGCAATAAGTTGCTGCTGTCACAGCAATAAGTTGCTGCTGTCACAGCAATAAGTTGTCTAAAAATGCAGAGATTAATCAGTTTTCTTGTTTTCACAATAGTCCCACAAAATATTGTGGTAAATCTTCAGGTTCATCTTCATCTGGACCAGTGCTGCCCGTTCCTGTGAATGACGGGAGAAACGGATCCTATTTGGATTTTTGTTCTATAATTTAGCAGCAATAATGGTTCTGAATTGAAACTGTTGCTCATCTTGTTGATTTATCCATCGAAATGTGACTCATTAATTACAGACCTTAAAATTAACTCTATTAAAAAGTCAAATAAATACTTTGGGGAATCTAATAATTTGAATCCGATGTTATTAAAAACATACAAACATTTATTTAACTTTCTTTAGTGATAAGTACATTAAGTTAAACTGTTCCAGGTCTCCTGAGTGATTGATTGATTGATTGATTGATTGATTGATTGATTGATTGATTGATTGATTGATTGATTGATTGATTGATTTCCTATAGCAGCATTGACTACACTCAGACAGATTGTTTTCAGTTGAGTTAATAAACTGAACCTGGACATTATTTCATTATTTTAAGACTCCAAAGCAATAATTTGAGCCTCAGAAAGTTAACATTTCAGTTATTGCAGCTCATTTTATTAATCAAATTTGATTGAGCCAATGGTTTGTAGAGGCTCTCAATAATTCTAAAATCACAAATTAAAGGTTGGACCTTTCTATATTTTGAAGAGAATATACAGAAAACATAAAAACCTGTTTTTAGCATTTTAAGCCAACAGCAGGTGACTCACTGCTGCTCTCCGGTGGCTAATTTAGCAACTGCATGTCGATCTGAATGTAAACGTGCAGAAAGTCCCGTTTCCATGTTTTCAGTCTCAGATGACAGAGATAAAAGGTCACAACTCTTCTCCTACTGTGAACTGAAGTTGTTTTTGGAGAACAAATTTCCATCTTCTGACTTTAAAATCAGTCAAACATCTGGATTTTTATTTCCGGTAACATCCGAGGAGACGTCCTCAAAGTTTAACGCTTTACGAAAACGACTCGCCGCCATCTCTTCTTAGTTCATCCCATAATGCAACACAAACCCAGGCTACGGGAATCCCTGTGGGACAGTTTGTAGAAGTTTTCCCCTCTGCGATCGAACACTCACCCATCCTCCCTGCTGGATGATGAACTGCGCCTCGTCGTCCTGCAGGCAGTGCAGCCCCAGCTGCAGCAGCGTCTTCAGAGGCTTCCCTTCATACTGCAGGGCCCGCAGCAGCAGCAGCGGCACCAACACCTGTCAGACACAGCCAATAACGTGAGGAGGCTGCGTCACATGACGACAGGAAGAAGCCACTGGCTCACCTTGTTCCAGCACGATTCAGTGAGTCTGGCCAGATCCAGAGCTGTGCTCTGAAATCTCTGGTCGTCCAGAGGCCTGAAACACGCAAACATTCAGCTTTACAAACACCAAACAGCACTGTCACTGAAATCTGGCCGCAAAGAAAAGAAGTAGTGCTGAAACGATTAATCAGATTAATTGTGATTCATCAGATTAATTGTGATTAATCGATTACTGAAATAATCATCATTATGAAATAATTTTGTAAGCAATTAATCATTAACTGGAGAATACACACTCAAAAAATGGCAATTTGCTGAAAAAACACAACATGTTGAGAGCAATAATTTAGCCAAAGCTGTACAATACATAAAACTTTCTACTTAGACTAAAACCCTTTGACAACAGGAAGTGGATTAAATAAGTGCTCATTGATTCCGCCTCCATTTGAAACAGAAAAGTAGTGGAAAGCTAATTATTCTGTTATTGGTTATTTCTTGTTTTTGTAAACCTGACTGAAACAAATTAAAAAAAATATCAATAAAAACAATTTCTTTAAACTCCTTAACTGGCAGTTTAAGCTTCATTCAGTTTAAATTCACTACATGAATGATGTTATTACAACAAAATGTTTATTTTCTTCATTAAAAAAGAAAACTGAATTATTATTTGGAACATTAATGGACTTCTAAAAATGTTTAAGGGGTTAAATGAAAAATCCGTACAATATTTTATCCAATTAATTGTCAGAATAAGCAATATAATACTCCATCCATCCATCCATCCATCCATCATCCATCCATCATCCATCCATCCATCCATCATCCATCTATCCATCATCCATCCATCCATCCATCATCCATCCATCCATCCATCCATCCATCCATCATCCATCTATCCATCATCCATCCATCCATCATCCATCCATCATCCATCCATCCATCCATCATCCATCCATCCATCATCCATCCATCCATCATCCATCCATCCATCCATCATCCATCCATCCATCATCATCCATCCATCCATCATCCATCCATCCATCATCCATCCATCATCCATCCATCCATCCATCCATCATCCATCCATCCATCATCCATCCATCATCATCCATCCATCCATCATCCATCCATCATCCATCCATCATCCATCCATCCATCATCCATCATCCATCCATCCATCCATCATCCATCCATCCATCATCCATCCATCATCCATCCATCATCCATCCATCCATCCATCATCCATCCATCCATCCATCCATCCATCCATCATCCATCCATCCATCCATCCATCATCCATCCATCCATCATCCATCCATCCATCCATCATCCATCCATCTATCCATCCATCCATCATCCATCCATCCATCATCCATCCATCCATCATCCATCCATCATCCATCCATCCATCCATCCACCCATCCATCCATCATCCATCCATCCATTATCCATCCATCCATCATCCATCCATCCATCCATCATCTATCCATCCATCCATCATCCATCCATCATCCATCCATCCATTATCCATCCATCCATCATCCATCCATCCATCCATCCATCCATCCATCATCCATCCATCCATCCATCCATCATCCATCCATCCATCATCCATCCATCCATCATCCATCCATCATCCATCCATCTGTCCATCCATCCATCATCCATCCATCCATCATCCATCCATCCATCATCCATCCATCATCCATCCATCCATCCATCCATCCATCATCCATCCATCTGTCCATCCATCCATCATCCATCCATCCATCCATCCATCCATCCATCATCCATCTATCCATCATCCATCCATCCATCATCCATCCATCATCCATCCATCCATCCATCATCCATCCATCTGTCCATCCATCCATCATCCATCCATCCATCATCCATCCATCCATCATCCACCCATCCATCCATCCATCTATCCATCCATCCATCATCCATCCATCCATCCATCCATCCATCCATTATCCATCCATCCATCCTCCATCCATCCATCCATCCATCCATCCATTATCCATCCATCCATCCATCCATCCATCCATCCATCATCCATCCATCCATCCATCCATCCATTATCCATCCATCCATCCATCCATCCATCCATCATCCATCCATCCATCCATCATCCATCCATCATCCATCATCCATCCATCATCCATCATCCATCCATCCATCCATCATCCATCCATCCATCCATTATCCATCCATCCATCCATCCATCCATTATCCATCCATCCATCCATCCATCCATCATCCATCCATCCATCCATCCATCCATTATCCATCCATCCATCCATCCATCCATCCATATCCATCCATCCATCCATCCATCCATTATCCATCCATCATCCATCCATCATCCATCATCCATCCATCCATCCATCCATCCATCCATCCATCATCCATCCATCCATCCATCCATCCCATTATCCATCCATCATCCATCATCCATCCATCATCCATCCATTCATCCATCCATCCATCCATCCATCCATCATCCATCCATCCATCCATCATCCATCATCCATCCATTCATCCATCCATCCATCCTCCATCCATCCATCCATCCATCCATCCATCCATCCATCATCCATCCATCATCCATCCATCCATCCATCCATCATCCATCCATCCATCCATCATCCATCCATCATCCATCCATCCATCCATCATCCATCCATCCATCCATCCATCATCCATCCATCCATCCATCCATCCATCCATTATCCATCCATCCATCCATCCATCATCCATCCATCCATCCATCCATTATCCATCCATCATCCATCATCCATCCATCATCCATCCATCATCCATCCATCCATCCATCATCCATCCATCCATCCATCATCCATCCATCCATACATCCATCATCCATCCATCCATCCTCCATCCATCCATCCATCCATCCATCCATCCATCCATCCATCATTCATCCATCCATCCATCCATCCATCCATCCATCCATCATCCATCCATCCATCATCCATCCATCCATCCTCCATCCATCCATCCATCCATCCATCCATCCATCATCCATCCATCCATCCATCCATCCATCCATCCATCCATCCATCCATCATCCATCCATCCATCCATCCATCCATCCATCATCCTAAAATAATTGTTGCTGCATTCTTGTCCAACATCAGCGTCTGACCTCATAAATGCTCACATAAAGAATACTGAGAAATGTCAACAAGCCGAGCGAGAGCCTTTGTGCAGATCACGTCTTGCTGCGAGTTGAGCGACTATCTGCAGCAGGATGGAGCGATAGCGAAAGCTCACTGTGTGAAACTCTTTGGTAAATATTTCCACAGCTCTGCTCACCCTGACAGGAGTTTCTCCACGGCGGCGGGAGCTGCGGACCGAGCTCTCGGGACACGCTGTGCCCAATGGCGGCGAGGCACTCCTCCACGGAGTTGTCCGGGTTCGGCGGGCAGAACACCACCGACTGGCGCAGGTCGAAGTCCGACTCAGAAAACGCTGAAAACAGGAGGAAGATGCCATGAAACAAGAAAAAGCCGCAGAACTGGAAACTTTGATCAGAAATGAGGTTAATTAAGGAAAAATAAAAACTTTAAATTAGTTACTCAACACATCAGACAAGCTTTCAGACTGAAAACACCAGAGAGAAGTTTCCTAAACACTAAATTGGTGCAAAAATGTTTCAATATTAATAAATGTTTAGATGAATTTACATGTCAAAGGTCAACCAGTCACCTGCACCCACAAACTACAAAAAAAAAAAAACAAGTTTAGCTGCGCAAACATAGCAATTAATTTTGTTAATGTGGAGAGCCAAGTTGATCTGTTTAACTTGTATTTTTAAAAAAGCTTAAAAACGACAAACAAAAACTTGTCCTTGCACAAACCAGCACAGCTGATCGACACCGTATTCAATCTGACTTTGTAAATCTGGACTGGCTGGTTGACCTTGGATGACCTCTGGAAACATTTGTTCACATCTTCCAAATGAGCAGAAAACAAAAACTTTTGCTGCACAAGCGTCGAACAAACGTTCGACACCAACTTCATGTAATCTGTTGGAGGAGGGGGCGGGGCCAGTGATGGGGTCAGGGATGGAGGCGGGGCCATTGAAAGGGGGCGGGGCCAGTGAAAAGGGGCGGGGCCTAATTCACTCAGGCAGTAGAAACTTACTGTCATTGACTTCCTGCTCCAGCTGCTTCAGCTCCTCGTCGATTTGCTGTTTCATTCGTCTGCTTCTCTCCCACTCCTCCTGGGCGTCTCCTTAACACATCAGACCTGGACCAGCTTTAAATCTGTATCTACCAACTCAAATATTATCCTGCATTTATCTGAATATTAAAGAGCGGGTTCGGTCAGTGTTAATAATCCTCTTAATCCTTGTTTCTGCTCCACCTTGCCTGATAAATAAACTAGTTTATCCTCATATTATAATCAATACTTTTACTGAGATTCGTCCCTGTTTAAAGTTTAAACGGAGACGAATCCTTTGCAAAAGCCCCTGATGGCTGCAGCCTTATTTTACACTTTACTCTCTGTAGGCAGGAGAACCTGGACAGGCAGCTGCTGACTCCTAATAAAACACAGAGGAAAACCCGTCAGAATGACTTTAGAGCAGCTCATGTGGAAGTAAATTATTCTAGGCGAATAGCAGAGGTCTAACCAACCATGCGAGGCGTGGAGGTTTCACACCAGCAGGCAGATAATGTGCTAATAATCTTTAAAACTTTTAGCGCACTTAGTTTTGCCTAAATTATTTGTTTGGATGAAATTTGATGTCTGTGGAAGTTTTGGTTATTGACTTAATAATTTGTCAAGTAGTTAGAACAACTTCTAGATGAGCCTCTGCTGCAGCACCTGAACAGAATAATTAGGTCATGAAGGTTCTGGAGAACCGAACCACGCTGGAGGTGATGAAGCCTTTTCAGTCCAGTGTTTTGGACCTGTGGCTCATATGAAACCTGCAGGACGGCCAGCGGCCCGGAGGACCGGAGTTTGACACCTGTCACTTCGAAGTTTATATTCATGCTCTTATTTTGACATTTGTTTGCACACCTGTTCTATTTCCTCTTTTTTTACAGAAACTTTATGAAGCAAGAGGTTGGAGCTTCAGCATTAGCTTCCACTAAATGCCATGTTGGTACAGCCCTTTACCTTAGTACTTTAGAGAAAGTGGAACTAACTTTTCAAGTCCATCTTTTCATCTCCTCGAGACAAACCACGTTACGCGAGTCACATGATCAACTACCAGATGTTGCTACTGGGGGAAACCATGAAGAAGAAGACAACAGGAAGCAGCTTAATGACTTTTTAACGAGGGATTTTAATTTGTTTCGTTTTTAATGGAAACGTCACCATTGTAAAATGGTGTTCTTTTGACATTAGCAGAATATTGACAACGTTCTGGTCATTTGCAGCTGGTAGCACATCCTGAATAACACTATGATTGTTATAGACTAGCTCTGTGATCCACCTCCTTTGCTTTTGCCACTCCTTTAAATATCCTATTTATGTTGTTAGACTTGAAGAGATGGTTTGAACTTCCTCATTCTTTCTTTCTGTGGTCATCTTTGCAAGTCCTCTGGGATTTGGGGTCAAAGTTCAGATATTAACTGAGCGTTTGAGATGCTAATCAGATGTTCCTAAGTGTAGAAATAACAATTTGTTGCCATAGTAACACTATGTGAAAGTAAAAAGTAAGTGAAAAATATTCTTCCCAATATTAACTGTCCAAACAGCAACAGTTAAACCAAAACATGAACAAAACTTTATAAACAGACCCAATCAGAACCACCAACACAAAAGGACAATAGCAACCAATTAAAATAAAAACTGAAGACAAAAAAAATCTGCCTCCCTTATTTCCCCTTTGTCCCGTTCAGCCCAGAGACTCGGGGCCGGGCTGCTCTGCTGCCTCAGCAGGCAGCCGGTCAGACCGCTGTCCGCCGTCTACTGGTGTGAGAGTAATCCTACGATAATTGCTCATGACAGGCTGTCACAAACTGGACCGGGTCGAGTGGAAAGCAGGGATCAGTCGGTCATTTGGAAGTTTTCAAACATTCTGCAACTCAATACCGCCTCTCTTCTGCTCGATTTATGAACATAAAGCAAAATAGAAGCAGCTGTTTGTGTTTCTTTCACTGCTGTTTAATGTGGAGAAGCACCAGAACCAGAACATCAGCGGGAAATTAAGGATTTGGGTTCAAATATGCAGGAATGTGGGGAAATAACTCCTGTATTTCCAAAGTAAGATTTCAATAAATAAAGCAGACGTTTCTGTCAATCTGGACAGATATGAGAATACAGATGAGTTGAAAGTGTCTCAGATGAAGGTGGATTCAGATGTCGACTGAATGCAGACATCTGAAAGCCAGAGAGCTTTCAGATGTCTGCATTCAGACATCTGAATGCAGACATTCAGGGCTGGAGAACAGGTGGCTACACGCCCAACAACCCAAAATACTTTGAGTTGCTGCGACATGAGCATGCACCAGGGCTGCAATGATTCAGCAAATCGCTCTGCAATTGAAATTTCTCACAGTTGATGAATGGTAAGCACCATTAGTCTGATCTGGCCAATATTGGTTTGGGTCGGCATACGGACACGTTGCAGTGTGACGTCACACACAGGATCTTGCCCCCCTGCTTCCTGCTAGAGGCAAAAACTGCTCTGCTACAATGACTAGCATTGGTTTTAGCTGAAGTTGCCAACATAATGAGCTAGATCTTAAATGTATGCGTGATATCTAGAAGAAAAAGGGATGCGATGCTTTGCGATTAATAGCCAGCATTACAAAAACTAGACAACAAGGTCAGGACAAAGTTTTAATTAAAAAAAATTTAAACTTTATTGAAAGAGAGGGCAGTAGGTAAGTTATGCTAGCTTGACTATGAGAACCTTAACAAGTATATGTGCTGCAGAATTTAGTGTGTTTTGGTTCAGTTAAAAAAAATTATAATAAGCCAACCAACTCTGACGGATCATCAGGAGGGCAGGGGCTTAAATTAGGCAATCAACCACTGCTGTGTTAGCTTAGCTAATAGCAGCGGAAGCTAGTCTACCACAAAAAAGATTTTTTTACTTCAAACTTGAGACTTAAAGTAACGTTTGAATCATTTTGCATTTTACACAGCAGAATAATTTTTTATGTAAAAACACAACAATAAGGAGCTGATTTGCTTTTTGACAGCATTTTATGTTTTAAATATTTCTTCTGCTAACTTAAGCCACTACTACAGAACAGGCAAGGCTATTTTTCATTCTGCTCGTCAGAATAATCAGTAAATTACTCATTTACTAAGAAAAGCGTCACAAGCGTTTCCCTCACCTAGCTCTGTGGTCGGAGTCCGTGATCTGCGGACAGGCAGCTTTCTCAGGAAGTGCAGCACAATGTATTTGGTTTCGTAGTGGAAACATGGAGGCACAACGGCCGAGGCACCAGAGGATGTCATGATCACAACGCTTCAGATTCACAGGCACATCAAGTTTCACTGTCAAAGCTGGACGACTGGCCTGGGGAAGATTAAACCGCTTTTTAAGTTATACAGCCTTCTGAATAATCATGTTTTCTTTCAAATAACAGTAACATTTGAAAAGAATCCACAGTAGGTGTTTGTTTTTAAACGTGTGTTTACTTAAGCTCCATGTGATTTTTCAATTATTTAAATTTTTCATTAGAGACTTACATAAAAACCTAAATAGGACATTTATAATTCATTCAAAATAGTGTTCCTTATATGAACACTATTCATGTAACGTTATTCAAAAATTAGCCATTAAATTCAATGAGCGAAACCATAGGATGTTCAAACAGACTGAAGGTTAAATTAAATTCTTGTTAATTTTTTAAAATCATCAAGTTACATTTTCAGACATATGAGTTTTGGTTTTTTTTTAAAGTATTATTATTATTGATATTGTGTATTAAATAAAGGATTTACATATTAATCTAATTGTTGCTCTATTTCACATATTTATTGCAATTTTTATTTAAATTATTGCCTGAATATCACAAGACTCCCTGGAGATTGATGTAATATACCAGAGAACTTTGAAATAACAATAATAAAACAAGTTGAAACACTTTTTATTATATTTAACAATAAGTGAATTAAAAAAAATTAAAAGTAATAATACTAATAATAAAAATAAAGTACATAATCTGAAAAAGTCAACATTTTATGAATGATTTTCACTTATTGTTTAATTTTCTAATATCTGAAACATAAAAAAATACTCATATGCTATTTATTTTATATATGTTTTTCCAAATTCATTTACGTTATTAAACGTCCAAATTTCTATATATTAATTCTATCCTGTCATATTGCCCCTGGTGATAGTTTATAATTTCAATTAAAATATCACCAGATCCAGAAATACAAAACTCATTAAATGTTTAATGAGTTTAAATATTAAAACTGTTTTTTTTTTTCACAATTATTTATTTTTGAAAATCCCTTTCAGACACTTAACCGACTATAAATTATTTAACTAATTTGTTTAATGGATACATTTATATGTTTATTACCAAAGTCATTTAATTAATGGCTTATTTAACTTTTTTAAAACTTTTTTTAGATAGTTTTAAATGAGGTGGCGCCACGCGGACTGGCAAAATATGTCAAGTCAACCAAACTATGAAAACACTTCCGGTGTAACTGTCAAATAAACCACATGCTGCCCAAATTAATTTAAAACTAATAAAACTATTCAGATTACACGCAGTGTTAATAGCAGCATCAAACCTGGTTACGTTTTCATTAAATAGCAGCATCACGGTGGTGTAAAATATTTTCAAGTACCAATAAGTGATCAATATTATCTGGTGAACATGCAAAAAAGCTCCTGTCTGATATTTAAAGGGAAAAACCCCGTTTTTAGTTAAACAAACGTTGCTGGAACCCCGGAGTCTCTTTGGAAGCTACATTAGCTAGCTTAACGTTTAAACTGCCGAGAAATTACTTAAATGCAACTTTCTAACGCTCCCGCGGGAGCCATTTTTCACCGTCCTTGTCCAGAAGGAAACCAAACGCTGACAACCGCCAGGCTGGACGCTGTTGTCGCCACCACCCCTCGCAGCTGCGGGATGTGAAGTGAGCGGAGCGCCGCGGTCGGCAGCAGCACCAACAATGCGCTCCGAATGGATCGCAAGCGCGCGAAAATGAAACACCGGGCTTCCTGTGAAATCCTTCAACAAAAACTTCCGTTTGCCACAAAAAACGTGCGTAGCTTCTGTTTATATGTGGAAATAAAGCGGATCCTTCGAACCGTTTGGTCAGTGTATATGTCCCGCCGTTTCCCACCTTTTCTGTCCTTCTAATGTCATTGTCCTTCTATAGCGTATTTTACGGTCTAACGATGCATTCAAGCACATCTCGTATTGTAGACGATCCACATTTAAATGGTTTTAGAATACGTGAATCAACTCTTCCTCACATCCAATTTCACCAGAGATGGTTTGGTGCTTCATAAATAAAGTTATTCACCATCTAAAAGAAAGTTTATGGTTGGAACGTTTAAACTTGTCATATTTTGTCAAATTACAACACGTTTCAATGTATTTCATTGGGATTTTATATGGAATCCAAATGAAGCCATATAAAACAGTGAAAACAGTGATGATCATATCTATTCAAGCATCTTCATTTTAAAACTCTTGAAACTCCAAGCTTTGTACAGCTCAAACAAACATCGACTTGTTGCTCTTATTAGTTGAATTGATATGTTTCTGAATAAATTTACATCATGCAATTTAATCGTTGTTGTTGAACTTTGATGTCATCTTGATTTATACAGCCACATAAATAACACTGATTAAATTACTGTGTAAAAGAAGTGTGTGATTTTTTCTCATCGGGTGTCACAAAGCTCTTCAGTTAGTCAGTGTTATTTCTGGAAATGACATAAACACATATTTCCGACTTGAGTGAATGCACCATGGCGTGAAAACTCGAGCCTTAAAACGCTGTGGAGAAGCGCCGTTCAGAAGACACATCGGGTTTTCCGCCAGTGTGAGAGTTTCAACCTGGACAATCTGGTGGGAAATCTGGCTTTCCGAATATCCTGAACTTCAATTTACAGTCAAGGAATTTAGATAAATTGCTTTTATGTAGAATATTTATATGGGAGAGTACATTAATGACAAAAACTCATGTGCTTAAAATTCACTCATACTTTCTAACAATATACAAACCACATAATAATAATAATAATAATAATAATAATAATAATAATAATAATAATAATAATAATAATAATAATAATAATCATAATAATAATAATAATAATAATAATAATAATAATAATAATAATAATAATAATCATAATCATAATAATAATAATAATCATCATCATCATCATAATAATAATAATAATAATTATTATTATATTATAATAATTATAATAATAATAAATACATAATGATGGGTGACAACAAAGCCCTTTAAAATCCAAATGTTTAGATATTAATATGTATTTGTATGACAATAAATAAATATTCTTCTTATTATTGCCATTGTTGTTGTTATTATAGAAATTGGGAAAAATATTAGAAGAGAACAAATTCCGACTTCCGAGGTAAATGGAACGCAGCATAACTGTATTTTTGCAGAACGCAGCAAAGATGCCACTCCCAATATGGCCGACAGGTCAAAGCTCTGTCTCTCTGGTTTATGAAGGGCCCGCCCTCCATCTTTACTACTTTGGGAGAATTTGCTGAAAAAAGATGTTTGTGCTGCTCTAAAATGAAAGCATGTGGAACTTTAACGGGAAAAATATGATAAACAATTAATTAAAACAAGGGTATAAACGGTTCTACTTGTGGGCCAAATTTAAAAAGTTTGACCGGAAGTCCTGTGTCGTAAACTCGGGGAGAAAAGCTGGTTGGGCTCGACACGGCGCCTCCTTCGCTGCTGTATAAAAGTTGAATTTTTACGCTCCAAACTACAAGAAACAGCAGAAACATGGCGCTCACCGACGCAGACGTCCAGAAGCAGGTGAGGATGAAACCGCCTTTTTTAAAAAAAACGTTTTATTCCAGCGGATAAACTGGAAGAACATCCTGGAGCAAAACATCCTGTTTACATCGATCTGGACACTAGAATGCTGCAAGTTACAGTACAGCTGAGTTAAATAATAATTGCCCAATATTAATAATCAAAATAATCCGCCTTTTGTTTGCATTTATGTTTCTGTATGAAAGTTCAGTCACTGGAACCAGTCACTGAGACCAGTAGTCACTGGAACCAGTCACTGGAACCAGTCCAGTCACACAAACCAAGTTTCTGTTGACAAGTCAAAGGTTCATTGGAGAGAAATGTCAGTGAATGCAGAAAGTCCGACTGAAATGGGACAAAATGGGGGGAAAAATACTTTTAAAAAATCACAATCAGCAAATAATCAACTTCATTATGACCATAGATCACAGAAGAGCAAGTTCCCTAAGAACAGCCATCTTGGTAGGCTGCAAGTCTGCCTTAACTTGCAGATAAAAGCTACATTAGCAAAGCTAATTTTAGTAGTTGTTACTGTAGTACAGCAAGTGCTTCAGTAAATATCACTGATATTTATTTTTGTATTATTCAGGGGTTGGTACAGTACTCAAAAATTGTAATGTGTAGTAGTTGTAATGTTTTCATAGTTCAAAGTTTGTGTCTAGTTTATTGTTGTCATAGCAACTCCATATCAACTCTCATTGCACTTGGTTATGGCTGCCTACCAAGATGGCTGTCAGCTACAAAAATTCCCAGAAGTGTGGCGTCACATTGCAAATTCATTGTTATCACAATATCCAATATGATGATCCCAAAAAACTGCAACAAATGCTGACTAATCATTTCCAGACGATGCATTCAGGCTCTTTGTGCCTGTTTTTATATTTACCTGGGGAGCACCACAGGGCACTGCACTCTCACCATTCCTTTTGTCTTCGGGATAAATACTCGGATGGGTCAGGGATCCGTTTGAATACAAAGATACTGAAAGAATGCAGAAAAAGAAGTTTTCTGAAATGTGTTTTAAACGTTGACAACCCCAGAGAGGAGCAGCTCCATGAACTCCATGAACTTCATGGAGCCTCCAGTCTGATTCTTTGACTTCAGTCCTGATGACGTTAGACCTGCTGTTTCTGAGGGAAATCCAGAGGAACCAGTCATCCCATCTGATGGTTGAAAAACCTGAACAATAGATTAGAAATTATACATATTTCAGCTCCTATGTCTATTTATTCAATAATTTAGTAGAAAAAAAATGCGTTTTTGAATTGAAAATGTTGCTTATTTTGCTGTCAATTAACTCGACTACCACTGGAGTTAAATGAAAGATTCAGACTTAAACCTTGGTGTGAGTTTCATCTGTTTTGTGGCTGCAGATCAAACACATGATGGCGTTCATCGAGCAGGAGGCCAGCGAGCGAGTCGAGGAGATCTTAGCCAAGGTAACGGACGTTCAGCTCAGAACGTCCACTTCCGTCACAGCGACCCGTAACGGACCGGGATGTTTGCTTTCAGGGAGAAGAAGAGTTTAACATCGAGAAAGGTCGCCTGGTGCAAACCCACCGGGTGAAAATTATGAGTTACTATGAGAAGAAGGAGAAGCAGATTGAACAACATAAGAAAATGTGAGTTTTTAAGGTTTGTGTTCTTTAGTGTGGCTTCTGGAGGTCAGAGCGATGTTCTCATCAGGAATCGTCTCTCCTCAGCCAGATGTCCCAACTGAAGAACCAAGCCAGGCTGAAGGTGCTGAAGGCCCGAGACGACATGGTGACGGTCAGATCCTCAAACCTTTTAACCCATTTCACAGAAACTCACCAGCCTTAAACTGCCCCGCAATAACTCAACATTTTAACATATGCAACCTGAAATTAAATTATTGTCTTAACTCACTTATTGCTGTTTTCTTTGTTCATCTTAATGAGAAGGATGATGCTGTTTTGTAACAGCCACTCACCTTTGCAAATATTAAGTCGGGAGAGTTTTTAGTTATTTGCAGATTCTGAAAGTGTGGATTCAGTTTTGACAAACACATGAAAATCTAAAGAGAAATCCTGTTTTCTGCAATAATAACCTGAAATGTTATAATTTATAATCTAGAAGCATAGTAAATAAAAATAGACTTGAGTTGCTTTGGCAGAAACAAAAACCTTCTGCACTATTAAATATAAAAATTAGACACCCATTTTCATCAATTGTATTTAGTTGCCGGTTGAATCACTTTTAATTAAATAAAAATAACAATAAGTGCAAGCAGAGCAATTGGGTCAAAAGAATCGACAGATTAATACTTTCAGCAGGTCTGACTTGGCTGCCAATGTTTTCTTTCCACCGATATCTTTAGTTTTTCTGCTGAGTGACCTGCAGTACCGTGTGAACCACCAGGGGGCGCCCGCAGTTTGAGAACAATTGGTTCTGCACCATGCAGAAACTATGCAGAAGTGCTTGAGAAAAGGTTTTCTGAGATAAGCGGCTCTTAAAAACTTCAACTTGTGTTTATGTTCAGGATCTGCTGAGTGAGGCTCGACAAAGAATCGCTGACATCGTCAAAGACCCGACAGGTACGCCAAGCTGCTGGAGGGTCTGCTGCTGCAGGTGAGCTGAGAATCATAAGTAATGCTTCACCAAGAACAGTGGTGGGCGACCCTAGATAAAGAAGTTAGCATCTCTAACCTTGAAGCATAAACATTGGTTCTGCTAATGCTAAGGGCGTCTACAGCCTTCAGTCCAGACTGCAGACCTTTTAAAAAAAGGAAACTCAGTTTTTTGGTAGCAAAAATTTTGTTATTTTTAAAGAACCACGTTTTATTTCTGTGTTTAGATTTTAAATTAAAGAAAAGCAAGACTTTTTAAAACATACTACCATTGGTGTTTTTAGTGTGATTCTGTTTTAAAATATCTATACATCAACGCAGATGTTGAACTTCATTCAACTGAACATTTTCTAAACAACCAAATAAATGAACAACTTTGAATTTATCCAGGAAAACTCATTTATGGGAAGCTAAGTATGCTAGACCTTTTTGAAGTTAGCTGAAGCGCTAAGCAAAAGGTTAGCTTGGCTGTTAGCTGGCTGTTAGCTTGGCTGTTAGCAGGTTAGCGTAAGTGTGCCCACTACTTACGCTAACCGTGTTTTTTTGATTTATTGCTACATTTTAGGGCTTTTACCAGCTGCTGGAGCCTAAAGTCACCGTCCGCTGCCGGCAGCAGGATGTTGACATGGTTCAGGTAGTCTAGCTTTTCTGCTTTGCGCTGGTGACGGTTTGGGTTGGTGAAATAAAGCTGTGTGCTGTGACTGCAGGCTGCAGTGGATAAGAACATCACTATCTACAAGGAGACGGTGAAGAGCAACATAACTGTCCGGGTTGACCAGGATCACTTCCTTCCATCAGACATGTAAGATGGTCAAATCCATCACAGTTTTAATTTAATCATCTCCTCATGTGATGCAGCTGTTTGGAACCAGATTTGAACCCTGCAGCACAGTGGACCGGCGGACCAGCGGCTGCTGCTGATGCGTTCAGTTAAAGTAAATCTGTCCTGCGTTTTCACAGCTGCGGCGGCGTTGAAGTCTATAACAGTAATGGAAAGATTAAGGTTTCCAACACCCTGGAGAGCAGACTGGATCTCGTAGCACAGCAGGTATTATACATTACACAAAGTGCAGAAATTTGGATTACTAGGTAAAATCATAGCATGTAGTTCTGCTGTGTGTCTGCAGGGGGCAGCATAACTCTATCAGTAGGAAAAACCTGAAAACTTCAGAATGTTTTCAGCCTTTTGCGTTTTTAAGTGTTTGTTCATTTTGGGTTCAAACCCGGTTCCTGTTTGACCCAAAAGCTGAAAATGTTTCTAAAATATGTTGAACATGTTCTGAAGTCTGGATGAAGCCAAACAGTTTTCAAAACTTCAACATGATAGAATATTGATCAGGCTAATAAATTTATTTTTATGTTACAAGAACATTGTCACAATAATACAAGAAAAAACTCATAGTAGAATAAAGTAGCAATTAAATGACAAAATCGGAATATTACTGGAATAATCATAATGAAACGAGAATAAAACTGTAATAATGCGAGAATACAGTCTTGGTAGCATGAAAATCATAATTGTGGGAGAATAACGTAGTAATTATATGCAAACTCCTACACAAAAATAATTTAAAAAGAGACATGTTGAGCATCTTGTGAAGTTATATTTTGGTGCTTAGACATTAAATTATTAGCATCAGTATTTTGAAACAATTTCTCTGTTTAGAAGAAAGAACCACTGACTTTCTGAGTTAATCAGACCTTAATGAATCTATCAGCGTTTTTTCCTCATTAAAACAAACGGCGCCGCCCTCTCCTTCCAGATGATGCCTGAAATTAGAGAGATCTTATTCGGTTCCAACCCCAACCGCAGATTCTTGGATTAATTTGAGGAGAACATCGGTGGAAACGTCAAGGTGACCCCTGACCTTCCTCGCAGGAGAGCGATTGACGTTTTCAGGTCAAACTAAACTGATCAGTGTTTTCAGAAAACGTCTGGGCTTAAACGTAACCCAGCAGTAGCTCTTATGTCCTCCTTACCTTCTGCAAATACGGGATGCATAAACTGAAATCTGCTGCTGATATTGTTGGAAAACATTTTTAAGTTTATTTGATGTTTAACAGCCAAAATAAACAAATTGGAGTCAGTTTAACATGTTGGAGATCTCTTTATTTACAGTGTGTAAACAGTTTTCTCTACAGAACAGGACAAAGGTAGTTGCTATGGAAACACGTCTGTCTGGTATTACAATGCAAAAACAAAACAAGCTGTTGGCGCCACCTGTGGCGCCACCTGTTGGTGGCGCCACCAGGTGGCGCCACCTGGTGGCTTTAAGTATTGGCGGTTGGTAAGACGAGGCGCCTTACTAAACTGCTTCTGTCTAATATTTAAAACTGTCCTGTCTAAATTTGAATTCTAGCAAAATATTACCACTTCCAGCTACTGGGGTAATTTTAAAGTGGGGTTTTGTTGAGATGTTACAAGCAGTCAGTATCTTCACTTTGATGGAATGGAGTTATTTCAGGTTGTCATGTTTGTGTTGCAGTAAAAAGCAGGTACTCATGTAAAAGACACTAAATCTGTGTAAATGTTCCCTGTTTTCTGTCTATTATCAACAAAATGACATTTTATTTGTTAAATGACAGAAAAACGAGGCATATTTTTAATATTTGCCATCCAATTGCTTTGCTGATTAATCTTGTTTGAACAGGAGAAACTTCGTGCACCAGGAAGTTGAACCAACAATGAACCAGATATGTGGAAACACAATTTTCTGTTCCTGACATTTTTCCTGATTTCTTTTGATATCTAACCAGGAAGCGTCTGAGCTGCTGCCTCAAAGGGCCTCTTCAGGTTTTCCTTCATTTAAACTGAAACGTAGTGAATTGACTTCTCAGAACTGGACAAAGATCGTTTTTTGGGTTAGTGCTTTTGCTAACTTTGAAAAGATTTTATGTACTTGATGTCACTTGAATGAACTTTTCTTGATAAAATACGTGGCTGTTTGTACAGTTATGTGACGTTTGATGTGCTGCAGTTTGGTTACTGACTGCTGCGTGGCGGTCAGACTTCTGCTGATCCCCTATTGTGCAGAACAATTTTTTCATGTGAGTAATGTTTATATTCATGCTCTTATTTTGAAGTGGATGACGACAGCAGCTCTGTTTCCATTCCAAATCAAGTAATTTTATTTGTTAAAGTGATAGATTTATATCCTTATTCTGACATTTAGCAAAAAGAAATAATGTTGGTGATCCTGACTGATCTAAAACAAAAAATCTCCATATTTAATGTTGGTGAGAAATAAAAAAGTTTGAATAGTTTAATAAACGTTTTGGCAGCAGTCGTCTGGCTCGGTGAAGGTTTAGAGAACTGCTCTGATGTTGGAAATGTTTCATCACGGCATAAATTACTGCGACTCCACAGATTAGCTTTTAGCTTCAAGGTCTGAAGCTCAGATACTGACTTTCTGTATCTTCTGTACAGAATCCCACTTTAAAAACAAAATCCTTTAACATGTTACAAGACATAAACTTTAACACTAAGAGGATCGATAAGGCGTTGATTGCATTGTCCTTTGTTGTTGTGCGCACATTATTTGAAGCAAACCATAAATAAGGAGGGAAATTTATCTTTATTATTGTTCTTATTTGAAGTGAAAGTGAAAAACGGCTGCTGCGTGTTGTCCTGCAGTCTAACCTGTGGCCTTTTAGCAGGAAGTGAGCTGTGTTGTAAATTGAAATGTACGCTATTACAGGGATTAAAGGAATTACCATCAGATTAACAAATGACCTTATAGAGGTTGGCTCCCAGTCCAGCAGAAGACCAGATTACAACTGTGACCTACAGGAAGGAGTGGGAGGACTGCGTAACGGAGCTGCTGCTTTAAGCAGATAGAAAATAAATGGGTCACACTCACTGTCAGGCATTTTAGTTTAGCAGCTGTAAAAATATCCAGCAGTTTCTTTCTTTACAGCCAGCGGGAGAAACGTCCTTCAGGTGAAGGGAACACCTGGACTCGGGTTAGTTACTCCGGACCTTGTTGACCCATCAGAACCTCACTGCCAGGCGGTGAAACCAGAGAAACTCCATTTTTCTGGAGAATGAAGCTGGGATTCTCCTTCGTGTTCCTCTTCACCGCCGCCAGTCACCGCTATCCCAGTAAACCCAGAACCGCCTCCCCGACCCCCAGGAAGTAGACGCCCTGCGCGATGCCGAAGAGGGGAGCGATGACTAGAGCCCGGCATGCCGCGCCCTTCAGGAACGCCGACGGTCCTTCCCGCCTCATGATGCGTCTGGAAGATTCAGAGAAATGACGACTTAAAGCTGCAGTGTGTAACTTATGAGAATATAGATTTTTATGACGTATTTGTTGAAACTTCAGTTTTAAGAGAGATGCAGGAAGGAGTCGTGAAGCCCTTTGCTCAGCAGTCTTACCTTGTGCAATCAACAATTCCTCTGTACGAATCTTCACCGTCGCCTTTTTGCAGAGTCTGCAGGCGAGTCTTTATCACTGGTAACATTTAAAGAAAAAAATCTCTAATTTATGCTATTTGCAGTATGAAAACATACAGATATACAAATTGATCTTCATTGACGCTCTCCATCCAATCTGCCTGAGCTTGATTTGTTTCCCAAAGAAGAATCAACAAAAAGTCTCTAAAAATGCAACGTCTGCAAACAGAAACACAAAATGAACGTGGAACTTGATTACAACTTTGAAACAAGTTAATTAATATCCCTTTGGGGTCAATAAAGTATTTTTGATTTTGAATTGAAGGGTTTGTAATTAATCACAATTAACATTTTCAAAACTAAACAGACAAAGTAAGCAGCATTTTTAACTGAAAACCTGTTTTTGCTGTTAAATTATTGAATAAATAGTTAAATGAGCTCAACAACAACAATATTTATAGTTTTAATCAGGTCTTCAGGTTCTTCAAACAAAGAGTTCAGGAAGCCCTGATCATTCATGGCCATTAGCATTAACTGCTGCATGTTTAGCATCGAGATTCTATTTCAGGCTAATAGAATTTAGCCTGAACACAACAATAATTTCCCATCAGGTCAGTTTGGAAGCAGAAATGAACCCCAGAGGTCCAGCAGCATGCAGCAGCAGCTGCTGCTGCATGCTGCGTAACGGAGCTGCAGCATGATGTTCATTTGTAACATCATTTTCCTTCCACTTTCTGTCATTTCCCTTTTCACACGTGGCTTGTGATAAAATCCCATTAAAACGCATTTAAGTGTAATGCACTATATGTGTCCATGTCGCCGCTGCTCACCGTCCAGCGGCGTGACGGCCACTGCTGCCACCGAGCCGGCGGAGCAGCCGGCCACGAAGGACTGCCAGAACGGCGCCTGGGCCTGACATCCGCCTGGCCCTCGCTGCCCTCCCGGCCCAGAGCGTTGAGGTTGGCAAACAGAGGGAAATAGATCATGGAGAAAGGTACATCCCTGCAACAAAACATTAGAAAAGTTGGGAAAAAAACGATGGAGTGATGAGATTAATAGCAGCGTAACAACCAGACATAGCTGCAGGACTCCATTGATCTATTGATCATAGATCGTCAGAAACTGGATCAGTAACAACAGACCTGCAAGCTGCTCAGAGAATAATAGTTTGAAAAAATGATATGCAATAAGAAATAGAATTTGATAGATATTTATTACATTGCAAGTAATTTACAGCTTCTTCATTTTGTTTTTTAAAAACATAAGTTTAATTCAAAAGTCTAATAATGATACTGCCATAAACTGTTTTATAAAACAGAATTTTTAACATAATGAAGAGACTATTGCTGTTATGTGTTGCTTTCATGTATGTCAAGAAAATTCTTTGAATTTACAAAATAAATGCCTGAATCATAAATCTCACAGTCTCGACCCTCTCCAGTCCCTCTGCGACCCCGATGTGTTGCAACCCCCATGTTGAAGACCTCTGATTATGCTAAACCTGCAGAGATCTGCAGGGATATGGATAATTTTGCACAAACTTGTAAATTGTAAACTTTGCTCTAAAAAGAACAGATTTACAGATTTTTACTCTGTTTGCGTCTGAGGGTGTGAAAACGTTTCCTCGGCGTTTCGTTGCAGGTGTTTTCTCTGACCTCATCAGGGTCGCGCCTGCGCCCCGGTACAGGCCGGCCAGGCCACGGGTCTTCAGCAGATCCGCCGTGATGCCGGTCGCCGAGGGCCGCCGCACCGCCGGGGCCACGAGCGACGGCGCCGGACCGGGAGCCGCCGCCGCCTGGGTCGGAGCCGCCACGGGTCGCTGTGCGGCTGCAAACGGAAAACACCGGAAGTCAGGCAGCAGAGACTCCTGCGCTCCGACTCTGGGAAAGTCCTGAAAGCCTCACCCAGCCGTCCTGCGTCCTGCAGCTGGATCTTCAGCATCTCCATGGGAGTGGTGACGACCACCTGGCAGGTCCCTGCCCCGCACCCCGCCAGGACCTCCCCCCACAGGGGCAAATGCCTGGGGCAGAGCAGTGGGTTACACACTGGTCAGTACACAGACACTGCATGCATTAAGTATGGAAGCCCATTTCTGCCATGAAATAAAAAACAAAAGGCCAGCAGGAAGTCATAATTATGAGTTTTAAAGTCATAATTCCAAGAACAAAATTGATCTATGCCAATAAAAGTACAAATTCAGTTTTAAAGTTCTAATTACAAGAATAAAAGTACTTCTTATGAGTTTTATTCTGGTAATTATTTGTCTTTCATGGTGGAATTGGGCTTCTACAGAAATGGATTTATATCACTAAAAAATCACAAGTAACATTTAGAAATTTTCCACAAGTGGTTGCAGTTTCCCCACCTCCTACTAACGGATCTGATTAACTCCCTTCTAACGTGTCAGTGTTGGTGCATCAAATGACAGGAGAAGATAAATTACCCGTCCTTTGAAAGTTTTTGTCTGAAGACGTCGTTGGCGGCCAGTTTGATGGCTTTTTCTGGCGTAACGAGCGTGAGGTTTACGGCTGCTCCTGAAAACAACAAACAGGCCGACGTTTGTCTCCACAAATAGAAACAGGCCTAAAAAGCAGCTTAGCGGGTCACTATAGAGCACAGATGGTTCACTGGTTTCCACCGTAAAAAGATTTAAGCTCTGCAGGACAACAACATCGTAGTTTTGTGGATTAGATACCTCGGTAGCATCCGAAATAGCCCTCGGCTCGCACCGTCTTTGCCAGACAGTCAAACCTTTAGAACAACAAAAAACAGCCATTACATTTCTCATCAGGTTATGTTCACAACATATTCTGCAGAGGGGTGAATTAGCAGTCTTATTTCTTCATAGATGGAATAAGACTGCTATTCCAAGCCATCCTGGCTTTTTAAAGCGAATAAGTTGAGAAAATGGTGTCTAACTGTGTTGCAGAGAAGTTTTCCCAGATATTTTCCATGCATGAGTCACAGGAAACCCACAGGCAGCTGAGCATGAACAGGACGGCCACGCCCGGCCAGCAGATGTGTGCTGATCAAACCTCTGGGTCGCTGTGCTGCTGAAGGGCAGCGGCTCAGCCTGCTTCTGCTTTTCTGTCTCTCTACGCGTCTTCAGCTCTGATAATATGAGCGAATATGAAATAACTGGAGCTGTAAGAGCTAATATCATCATAAAAACACAGATTTGACTGAGTTTAGAGCAGCTTCCCTTTGAGACTTCAACACAAACCTCACAGATTTCCAAACTTTATGCCATTTGGCCCATAATTATCAACTGCAAATATCACTTTTAAAATGTACAATCACCAAAAATATTGTGATTTTTTTTAACCTACTCAACAATAAAACAAGCATGAACTGTTTGATTAAGCAGATGAGATTTCTTTCTTTCTTTGTAGATTGTAGCTTCAAATAGTTTTT